TATATTCCCGGCTTATTAGCCTTATTACTAGCAGAGTTAAGACAGTTTAATGTAATTACTATTTCGTTAGCTTTACCTTCCTTCACATATTATAACTTAAAATTATACTTTAATTAAATTAGAGAAAGGAATATAGTAAACTTAAGCTTATAACTTCAGTTTATAAGCTTATTTTTATTTCATTTAAGTGAAAATTAAATGTATTTTAGGTAAAAAGAAATATTTATTAAGAAAAAAGAGAGGGGTTTGCTTTTATATTCTTTTAAGATTATTATTACCTTTTAAAATGCTTATATATAAGAGTAAATAAAGCTAGTTTATAATAACGTAATAAATTATAGTTTTTTAGCTTAAGTATAGTTAAAATATAATATTACTACTATTATTATTAGTTACCCTAGAGCCATTATAAGCTATTCTAGTACTTCTATATATAGTTCGAGTGGGAAAGCCCTTTCTATAGTAAAATATAATATTATTAATTACCCTTTACTAGCTTTTTTTTAGATTTAATTTTTTTAAATAAATTAATATATTATAAATTATTAATTAATTAATATCTTTAACGTATTATAGTATATTTATAATATCTTACGTATATAATTATAATTCTTTAATTTAAGTATAGCTAGCATAATTATAAAGCTAAGTATTTTTCTAAGAGCGGTATATACTTCTCTCTTTTATAACTTAATTACAGCTTTTATAATTATTATTTATATATTAATTTGCTATAATACTCGTATTCGTGTAATAACCTACTCTTAAGAAGAAGAACGTGTAGTTAACGCTATATTTAAATGCAGCTACGTTAGCTTAAAGATAATAACGCAAGTACAAAGAGGAAACTAGAAAATAATCACAATCTGCAAGCAAGAAATTTTCATTCGCATTTAGTACGTACAAACGCAACGCGGGAGGCGCTGGTCTTCCCCGGTTGCTCGGCCCCACGCTAGCACGTGAGCACTTACATTTACATTCCTATGTACCGAAATTACTTTACCAGCACATCAATCAGCACGATGCAAGTTGAGCTTAAAGATGGTGGCCATTTCCAAAACGAACCCACGAGCACTGTGGCAGCAAAGGCCACGGGTATTGTTTTCTCTGTGGCCTTGCCAATTCATAACTCGCCATTCGAGATGGTCAAGTCACATGATTAATGAACTCATTGACGAGGAGCTGTTACCAGGCGACCGATTGAGGTCCTTCCATCCTACCCGACCTGGTGAGGTGCTGGATGGCAGATTCAGGACAATCGCAAAACTTGGTTATGGGGGCGGCTCTACCGTTTGGTTAGCAGATAATATTGCGTTGTGAGTCTTGATATTACGCGCACTTGGTTGTTTCTCCTAATCTCTCATCTCAGCAAGGACTCGGCAGATACATCGGCTCCCCGCTATGTCGCTGTCAAGATCGCGGCTCTGGACATAGATGCAGCCTGGGAGGCCGGGATCTCAAAGCTCATAGCCAAAGCTGACCCGTCACACGAAGGACTAAAATTTATTCGAACACACATCGACGAGTTCCAATTAACGGGCGAAAGTGGAACACACTCTTGTCTCGTGTACACTCCTATGAGAGAAACTCTATTCCAGCTCCAACACAGACTACGGGGTCAGAGACTTGCACCGCCTCTCTTCAAGTTTTTCATGTACTGTCTCCTTGAAGCTGTTGACTACCTGCATACTAAATGTCGCCTCATTCATACAGGTAACTGAAGCTCGAAGCTCAGTCCCTCCAGATACCGTGAAGCTAACCACGGCCTGCCAGACATCAAGGACGACAACATTCTTGTGACGATTGAAAGCGAAGCTGTCTTAAAGAAATTTGTCAAACGTCAAATGAAGAACCCGCAGCCGAAGCACGTTCGAATCCAGGATGGCCGTGAAATTTACCTTTCGCAAGGTAACTTTGGGCCCTTGCAAGGCTCTAGACTGCTGCCAAAGCTCGCCGACTTCAATCTCGCCTTTCCCGGACTAGCTGATGGTAACGGCCACCTTTCCGCCATCCAATCCCATCGTTTCCGCGCCCCCGAGGTCATCCTAGGCTGTCCGTGGTCCTATAGTGTCGATATCTGGAACCTTGGCCTCCTTGTAAGATGACATGCACCGAGCCCTCAAGCAGGTACTGACATTTGCAGATGTGGAACCTCATGCAAGATGTTAGTCTGTTCGACCGGCCTGCGGGTGAAGATGGCGAGTACGACGCTCATGTCCACCTGGCCCAAATGGTATCCCTCTTAGGAGAACCAGACGAGGAATTGATCAAGAGGGAGCGCTTCTTTCGTAATTGCCAGCTCGAGAAACCTGTCATTAACTCGCGTGGAAAGGAGTGCAAGACCATGAACGAGTTCTGGGGTGGCCCATTCTTCAATGATGAGAGTAGGTTGGACATCATTCATGAGTTATGACACAGAGACTAACTGCCATTGTCCGTAGATAATATTCTCCGTACAGATCTTGTGGAAAGGAAGATGCTAGCAGATACGATAACAGAACTAGCTGGGGACGAGAAAGATGTATTCCTTGACTTTGCGTCTGGGATGCTCCAATGGTTACCGGAAAAACGCAAGACTGCTAGGGAACTGCTGCAACATCCTGTCTTTAACTCTTTGAACGAAAGTCGTGCCTGGTGGCGAGAGTGATCCGTCACAGCGTATGGAATCTTAACGAAGGAATCGTGACAGGCCCGTCGGAAAACCGTTCTGCTCACGCCACGACTAGAATTCAGGCTGTTTCACCCATGGGGCGTCTATTCATTTCTGGCCGCAACCAGCACTATTTTCCGCCCACCGAAGAAGTATTCAAAAAAACCTTCTTGCCCATTCATAGCTGCAACAGTGTCATCATATTATCGGATAGTGTTTGCCAGGTGTGAGAGCTATGGAAACTGTTTTTTTTCTCTTTTTCTGTATCTCAGAGCTTATGTCTGAGCGTCATCTCACAGACTAGCAGAGTGGCAAAGAAATGTATTGCGAAGATGAACCCTAGGCCCAACGAGAGTCGCTTGGGCAACTATGGGAATCATTACAGGCAATGATTTTGGCAGCCTATTTGTCTCCTCTCCCGGGTTATCGGCACAACATTGACAGCACCTGGATCACAAATCGAGAGCTGATATGCTGGCATAGCGCATCGAGTGTTTGGGCTTGAAAAGACTTCGTGCGTAGAGGGTTCAGTATATGAGGACTTGGAACTGTGTTCACATTCAATCTAATCACTTGCTTTGATGTCGAAGGTCCTTGGTTTCTTCCAAGACCCTTGTGTGTTGCTCGGAAGTCACGCCTCAAGGCGACACGGACCGGCTTGAACGATGCCTAGTTGAGGCCTCAGGCTTCCGGGCCATGGCTCACAGCTGATTGGGATAAATCAGGGTCTTCTGTCTCTAGCCTTGTGTGCAATAACTATCGTCGGGTTCAAGGGTCGGCCCGTGCCGCAATGTTACGTGACTTCTGTGTTACACTTCGGAAGTGAGTGACGAATGATTGAGTGCAAATACGCGCCCGAAGCCTGTTAGGGGGCTAAATTATTGGTCTCAGCACGCAACATATGGTCTCCTCAACGGAATAATGGTCCTTCACTATCTTCTCCTCTTGTTTCATTCCCCCGGCCCCTCCAGAGATTTGCGACATGAAGTCAACTTTGTCAAAGCTGAAGAATATCAAGATTAGGGGAAAAGTGAGAATCCCTTGGGCAGAACGGGATCTCAACGAAAATGTCGACTATCTAGAGGGGGAACATCCTCAACTTGCGAGACAATTAGAAAAGACCCTCTTTGTGAAGTTCCAGTAAGTTCTCCGAAAGACCGTGGCACATGACCCTTGCACCTTGAGTCCAGACACTGGCATATGATATCGCTACACAGAAACGGCGCGGTTGTGTACTTGGATGCAGACAGTCAGCGTGAATACTATTATGATGAGAATGGGCAGGCAGCGTGGCTTGACTAGTCGGGCTGAGTGTATGACTGTTGTAACCCTGGGAGCAAGGCGGCTAGATCAAATTGAATAAGATTTCATTCCTGTTACTATAGTAATCTCTGCCCCTGCTCATGCCGTTCTCTTATAATACAAGGCACATATGTTTATTCACCTTCACCTAGGAATCCGTCAGGATACTTGGCGCGATTACCGACTCCCGATGCAAGTACAAGCGAACCTTGCAAGCATCACAGTGGAAAACGCGCTCTGCAGTTCCATAGTTGGGATAATTTCGCCCACTCTTCTGATCTAAATCCAACAGGATGTCGAGCGGTATGGGTATCTCGGATAGGTCGTCGTAAAAGGATGGGGAAAACTTGGGAGCGATGAGACGGGCACGTGTCTTTTTAGGCTTTTTAAAGAGGTGATCGTTACGAGCTGTCTTTTCTCCATGTGTCTATCGAGAAAGAAAAGATAATAATAGAGGCCCCAGGCTAAGAAGAAGGAGAATGAAGTCAAAATAGTGCCAACCTGTGTGGCAAACCAGTCGTAGGGTTGATTGTTTCAGATAGAAGTGAATGGATGGAAACTAAGTTACAAAATCTCTCAAGATAGAAAAGCTCTGCTCTCCATTTCAACTTGGCTTCCGTTTTCATTCCCATCTGTGGAGAATAGGGATTCGGTAACCGCGACTTCCTCCATGAATCGCCTGTGCCTCCAAATTTTGCCAAGTCCCACCGTTTAATCCGTCGTTTTCGAACTTGTTCGGGCTCCTTAGGTGACGGCGACGAGAAAGAGCGACTGATGGGAGGCATAACCACGGCTAAGGTCGTGGTCATAGAAGGCACGCAGTCAGCTAGCCCTTAGCTGCCTGGGGTGAACTGGCTGTGGCAGATGTGGGAGCCCGAATGCGAGCTGCCCCTTTGAAGCGCCAATGGAGTTGACGGAATAGATGGCGTGACACCTAGCGAAATGGTCACAACCAAGGCTGGCCTCAGCTCTCGCAGATACTGCGCCAATTTACATCTGGCAACCATCCATATCTGAGAGCTGGCCCAGCTTTGATTCTCGTCCAGTCATACTCCATTATGTATTTCTGTTACTATGGCATTATTATGCCGTGATAAAGGCACAAAGTTTGTTATGTAAATCGGGAATGCCATCTGATATGAGTTAAGGAGAGACTGGCGTCAAGAGCACAAGTCTTGGTGGTGCTGGAAGGCTTGACATGTTGACATCATTGATTTCTGTCCTTGGATAATGAGGCACCGGCGTGGGGCGAGCGAAGGGCGGCGAGGGCGCATTACCCGATGGCGGTACTGTCTAACCCTCCCAGACATATGTTGATACAATTTGACAATGCAGTTATTTGGCCATGTGCGCATGAACTAGCAAGTTCAACACATTTGAAACACAAATACCAGCAACGCCATATCAATAGACGCAAAATACGCCGTCAGCACAAGAACAAGTAATTTACTAGCACTACGGGGCCAAATATGTTCTATTCTGTCTTCATTTACTTGAGAATCCTCTCATAAATAGCCTCAAGGTCTTTCGCAGGGTCTTCATTCTCCACCATTCCCAACCAACTACCTTCTGGTTTCTTGAACCCAAGCAACGTCTGCATCTTGGGACTCATCTTTAACACCTTGCTCCGGGGAACACACAAGAACTGGTTCTCCTCTGTACGCAGAGTTCCTCGGCAAAAGACGAGATTTGTAATCTTGCGAATCTCGCCAGGGATGGTATTATATCCCGCGCCGTGGGCCAGGGTGCTGAGAAAAATGAAAGCAGAGCCACGTTCCATCTCTAAACAAACGCACAGTTAGCCCTGAGAGAACAAGCCAGTCGCACAACACACGGCCTTACCAAGGAAGGAAACTTCATCGGGCCTGCCACGCCTATCATGCTCCCACTTGTGGGAACCAAGAATGACCATGGTGCCGCCGTTTGCGCGCGTGATCCTGGTTCCAGCAAGGAAGCAGCTAAAGCCATCTACTTCATTAATCTTCATATCGGGGCGATGTTTGCTTGAGAAAATCATGTCGTCTCTGTGTAGGGCTTGGCGTGGAGAGCCATGGCCGACGTGAAAACCCATGCAAATACTCAGCAACGGGTCAACGACCAGCTCCTCGGTGTGCTGCTCGAAAACGGCAGGGTACCTCTCTTCTAGAATTACCTTGAGCAGCTTGTCTATAGTTTCATTCGTATCGAGAATATTGGCGATGGTGTCCGACTTCCCTACGAGACCCGGAATAACAAGAGTCTTTTTTCCTATAAAGTTGTTGTAGGAATCATCGTCGGCAATAGAAGACTTTGTGTAGGGCTCCAGCTCTTCATCAATCTTGTCCAACTCTTCTAGGGAAACAAAATCAGTCAAGATAACACCACCATCTCGCTCAAGAATGGCGAGAATGTCTTCCAGCGACGACGTTGCCGGAAGCTTGGTGATGGCCTTGGCGGGCTGATACGACTCCGGAATGGGAGGCAACAGGCGTGGAGCAGAGTATTTCTCGTCGGCTTTGTCCACTTCCCTCTGCGCCAACTTTGCGTCCGAGTTGATCATGGCTAGGGAGATGAAAAAGAAGCGTGATGTTTCGAAATAGGCTGACGCAACAAAATGGGGGGGAAGTAGTGCCGTGACACTGAAAAAAATTGACGTCTATATGGTGTCAAACGAGCTTGTGAGACAAAACGTTCAACAATAGAGCTTAGACGCCAGGTGTGTTTTAAAAGCGACAACTTATCCCGGCTCTTGATTGAATGGGCCTCAATGATCAAGACGTGGCAGTTCTGAAAGTGGAAAACCATCGGATGAGCAGTACATCTACACATGTGATGGGCTGCACCGTTTGGGTCAGCGCGGCTCCCCATTCGATCAGGGAATGCTAAGATATCATTATCAATAATATAAAAAGAATGCATGCTAAATATTATGACCAACGCTAATGCATGCACATCAGAACGGGTCGAGTTCGACCGACTTCGTCGGCAGATGTAACATCGAGACCTGCTGAGCCCGAGTGGGTGCCTCCGATCTTTGCCGTGATGCCAGGGGCAGGGCTTCAGTAGTAGATTCGGTAGACCTGGTTTGGCATTTATCTTTGCAATGGTCCCCGGCAAAGTTATGAACACCACCCCCTGTGTGCTGTGCGGGAAAGGCTTTCTCGAACACCCTAGGGTGTGACAAGATAACATACTAGTTCCGTAGGCACTCACCGGTTGCACCCCGATACCTCCAATACCACTGTCAACAAATAAACTTTAGGCGCTGAGATTAAACAAAGGGACCAGACTCTTTCTCGGGTCCCCTTCCCAGTATGGTGGGATGCATGCCGCGGGGAGCCGGCACGGCTGGGGGAAGGAGAGTCACGTCCAACGTGTGGGACATGCCCCGTATGGCTGATATAGGTTGCGGGCATATAAGGGGTCTGGAACAGGTGATGAATGACATTTGCAGCCGTGCGCCTTGTGACGTGTCATGTATGACACATAACTGCATGCATCAACGCCGCCATTGCGGCACGGGACGGCAGGGGACTATGCACGATATTTTAGTGTTGCATCGTGTATGATTAGCTTTTAGGAGCGCTCTATATACCAGGATACCTCGACTTTTGCTGTTCCTGAACGATATAATAAGATTTCTTGGCATACATAGCATATATGTCGATCAAGCTTAGCATCAACTTGTATGGTAGTATGCTTGTGACGCATTCCAGGATTACCAGTCTGGGGAGGAGTGAACAGACCTAAAATGGTAAAGATATCCGTATCTCCGAGACAAATGGAGATGCTAAAATCACGCAAAGCTATCCGGCTTGTTGATGCCGCGTTTGCCGTATCGGTGGCTTCATGCGTGGCCGTAAAGTGATCCAGCCGAGCACGGTGCCATCGCGCTCAAGTCCGTGTCCCATTTTCCACTTTCTGCAACTCAGATGCCTAGTGGACTATTTGACGGTACATCAAGTATACTTGGTTTCCCCGTTATGAATCCTAGCTGGTTCCTGTATCCCTATATTAACAAATGCATCATGCTAGATGCCGTGATGCCTTGTCAAGTATAGAGTTCCAAATTATTAATGATACTTCCATTCTGCATATAGATAGTCAGCTAAGCCGGGTTTGCAAGGAACGGCATCTCCTTCCGCATGTAGCAAAGCCGTCGATGGAGTAGCCCCTTTTCAACTACTGCATGTGTGCCATGGTGGTAGTTGGATATGTAGTGTAGGAAAAATTGTTCCGTTTCTGTTTATACTCGTTGCACCGACTGTCGTCGTACAATGCGTGGTAGAAAGCCGAAACCTTGCCGTCAACCCCTATCGTACGAGTGCTCGTCTTTTCCCTTATCACTGAGCTCGTTTTACAGGTCAAGATGAGTGGCATCTCAGATCACGACTACCAGGTTCTGGTCAACGAGTTCAACGCCACGGATGACATCTCGTTGCTGGGTAGTCGGTTGGATCAACTGTTTGAGAAAGTGGTGGATCGCTTTCCAGACAACATAGCCGTTATCCACAACGAGAACGAGGTGACCTTCACAGAACTCAATACCTCTGCAAACACTCTTTCTCGAGGCCTCGCAAGGCGAGGCTTACAACAGGGCGACGTAGTTGGCCTAGCCGTGTCACGCTCCATCGACCTTATTGTTGTCATGCTGGCTGTGCTCAAGCTGGGCGCCGCTTATGTTCCGATCGATCCGTCATTCCCCGCCGAACGCATCAACCAAATGGTTGAAGATGCCGGGCTTAAACTTATTTTGCTCAGCGACAGGCCAACCAAGGGCCTTGCGTGTTGGACAGATCTATGCTTGAGCGTTGCTGACGCGAGAGATGGCTCAATTACCGATGCTACCAACCTCGGGACTGAAATCCAATCTCGGGATCTGGCATATGTAATTTATACATCTGGCTCGACTGGGCGCCCCAAAGGCGTCGAGATTAGCCATGGAGCCGCCGCCAACTTCCTGAGCTCGCTGCGGAAGCATGAGCCAGGTTGCAACGAGCATGATCGACTTCTTGCCATCACAACTATATCCTTCGACATGTCAGCTCTAGAGCTGTTATTGCCACTTGTGTCTGGTTCTGCAATGATCATTGCGAATACAAGTGCGGTCAAGGATCCGCGAGAGCTCATTAGCTTAATGGTGCGCCACAAAGTGACGATTTTGCAAGCGACACCCGCGACGTGGACGATGCTTCTAGAGTCTGGCTGGAAAGGAAATCCGCGGCTCTCCAAAGTCATTTGTGGCGGGGAACCACTGTCTCGCCAACTTGCAGATCGCCTGCTCGCCGTTGCTGATTCCGTATGGAATGTGTACGGACCCTCTGAGACGACCTACGGAAGCGTTGGGAGAGTCGGGGAAGGCGATATTGTCGTCGGAAATCCCGTCGCCAACGGTAGGATATATGTCCTCGACGACAACATGCTACCCGTGCCTATAGGATGCGAGGGCGAAGTGTACATCGGCGGCGGCAGTGTATCCAATGGATACCGGAATAAAACTGGGCTCACACGCTCTCGCTTTCTAACAAATCCTTTTCATGGCGGTGTATTCTTCCGCACCGGCGACCTGGCTCGGTTTATAGGGCCGGGAAAGCTGCAAGTCATAGGCCGCATAGATGGGGTGGTCAAGATCCGCGGCCACCGCATCGACGTAGGCGATATCGAAGCGGTCCTGGTCCAGCATGTCAATGTGTCCGAGGCGGTGGTTATTAGTCGAGATGATCGTCTGGTGGCGTATTGTGTGCTTCATGCGCCCTGTCACGACGCAACTTCCCTCGGCAGCATTCTACGCCCGTGGGTTGCTGAACGCCTCCCAGCCTACATGCTGCCAACGTTTTTTGTACAAATGGATGCGTTGCCGTTATCTCCCAGCGAAAAAGTCAACAGAAAGGCGCTTCCCGATCCAATAGAGGCGATGCAAAATCAAACCATGACACAGCCAACCTCTGAGTTGGAGCAGCAAATACAGGCTATTTGGTCGGACATTCTTGGCCACGATCGCGTTGGGATAGAAGATAACTTCTTCAATATCGGTGGGGATTCCGTACGCATAATCCGCATGCAAGCAGCATTGGAGAACCAGCTGCACCGACCGGTACCAACACCGAAATTATTTGAGCACTACACAATTAAGGCCTTGGCCGCATACCTTACTGGTACGAGTAAAGACAACAAGCAGGACCTCCAAACAGTGAGCCGGACCTTTGCTGGTAGTCATGAGGATATTGCTATAGTTTCCATGGCTTGCCGATTACCTGGTGGTGTGGCTACGCCAGAGGCCCTCTGGCAGCTATTACAAAGCGGTGGCGAGACGATTATCGATGTGCCCAAAGACCGTTGGGATGCAGATAAACTATATAGCGCAGATCCCAATATTGACGGCACTTCATATTGCCGCCGGGGTGGCTTCCTCGACTCAATTTACTCATACGATGCCTCCTTCTTCGGCATATCACCACGCGAGGCACAGGCAATGGACCCGACGCACAACCTGATGTTGGAGCTGTGCTGGGAAGGTTTCGAACGAGCTGGCTATACGAGAGATCAGCTGAGTGGTAGCCCAACAGGAGTTTTCCTCGGAGTTAGCAACAACGGGACAACAAATAGCACACCACCAGACCTCAAGGGATACTCTATTACGGGAAGCGCCAGCGCCACCATGTGTGGCCGTCTGTCCTACACCCTTGGCCTTCAGGGACCATCTCTAGTTGTCGATACCGCGTGTTCATCGTCACTAGTAGCCACGCACCTGGCTTGCAACGCTTTGCGGCAAGGCGAGTGCAGCATGGCTTTGGCTGGCGGTGTGAGCCTTCTAACCACCCCAGGCATTCACATTGAATTTAGCAAGCTCCGCGGGCTTTCCGCAGACGGCCGCTGCCGAGCCTTTTCGGATGACACGGACGGCACAGGATTCAGCGAGGGTGCGGCTATCATAGTTCTGAAGCGCCTGTCCGATGCCCGGCGGGATGGCGACGATATCCACGCCGTGCTTCGTGGTACTGCCGTGATGCACGGAGGCTCCAGCGCGGGTCTGACGGCACCCAGTGGCCCTGGCCAGGTAGCTCTTATTCGCAACGCTTTGGCCCGGGCTGCAATGGAGCCGGGGGACATCGATTACATCGAAGCTCACGGCACTGCTACCAAGCTGGGTGACCCCATTGAAGCTACCGCCCTGGCTGAAGTCTTTGGTACGGAGCGTTCCGGCTTGGATCCTCTAAGAATAGGCTCGGCCAAATCCAACCTTGGGCACACCCAAGCTGCGGCTGGCGTAGTCGGCTTGTTAAAGGTGGTCTTGTCTATGAAACATAATACCCTCCCCAGAACATTACACGTCAGCGAGCCCATGACAGCAGTTGACTGGAAGCGCGCCAACATGGAGTTGGTGCTGGAAAATCGACCGTGGCTGCCGAATAGCAACCGGGCACGCCGGGCTGGTGTGAGCGCGTTCGGTATTGGTGGTACAAACGCCCACGTTATTCTTGAAGAGTCACCTACTCCTGCCATTGAGGAGACTGGCGATGCCACATTGCCGTCGCTGCCGGCTACTCTCCCGTTTGTGCTGTCAGGACAAAATGATTCTGCTCTCAGGGCACAGGCGGAGAAGCTTCGATTGCATATCAAGAGTGGAGATGGGAAGGACAGCCGTCTGAGTGATGTGGCCTACTCACTTGCAACATCTCGTTCACACCTCCACCGGCGACTGGTAGTGACGGCTGCAGACCAGGCAGAGACGCTGGAAAGGCTTGCATCTGTCAGCTCAGGCTCTATCAACTCCTTGAACATGAACGAGGTCGGAAGTCCAACATTGGCAATGCTCTTCACAGGGCAAGGAAGTCAACTGCCAGGAATGGGCAAGGATCTGTATGCCGTCTATCCCGTTTTCCGCGATGCACTAGACGAAATTGCTGCGAGATTCACAGACCTGGAGCTGCCCCTTCTTGATATCATGTGGGCCGAGTCAGGAAGCCAGAGTGCTGCCTTGCTAAGCCGTACCGACTTTGCCCAGCCTGCCCTGTTTGCTCTGGAAGTATCCCTCTGGAAACTGTGGCAGAGTTGGGGCGTGAAGCCTGATTTCCTACTTGGCCACAGCGTGGGGGAGCTTGCCGCAGCTCATGTAGCAGGAGTTTTGGACTTGTCCGATGCTTGCCGACTTGTCATGACGCGCGGTCGCTTGATGCAGGCTATTCCTCGTCATGGGAAGATGGCATCGTTGGAAGCTAGCAGCGCCGAGGTCACAGCCGCAATTCAAGAACTGAAACAGCATGACAGGGTTGAAATCGCTGGCTACAACACGCCCTCTCAGACTGTTATATCAGGAGACGTCGAGGCTGTTGAGGCCATTTTAGTTCACATGGCAGGCTTAGGCCGCAAGACCAAGTTGCTTGATACCAGCCATGCCTTCCACTCATTCCACATGAACGGTATGCTGGATGACTTTAAGACTGTGGCCCAAAATATCCGGTTCAGCTCACCGAAAACCCGGATAATCAGCAGCATGACTGGGAGATTAGCCGAGGCGGGTGAGCTTGAACGACCCGAGTATTGGGTTCAGCAGGCTCGCAATCCTGTTCGGTTTAGCGACGCCTTCCAAAAGCTGGCCAGCCAAGGCGCAAATGTCTTTCTCGAACTTGGACCCAGTTCAATGCTTTGCGGCCTGGGTGCGGCGTGTCTCGCCGATCCTTCTCAAGTGAGCGCTGCTCTCTGGCTGCCCTCTTTGAAGCCAAACATGGATGGACCGTCGGTTATCCAAAATAGCCTTGGCGAGCTACACGTCCGCCATGTGCCGGTGAATTGGGCTGCATACTTTGAGCCTTTTGATTGCAAAAGAGTGATACTCCCCACCTATGCCTTCCAGCGGGAGAATTTCCGGCCCACAAACAAAGCCGGTTGGTTTGGTGTCATCTCACCCAGCACTGGGGTTGATGATGCCGTGCCGAGAGTGGAAGACATGATGTTTGAAATCAACTGGCGTCGAGTTGAAACGAAAAATATCCAGCCCCGCGGTGCGTGGGGTCTTTTCTGCCCGTCCGGAGAGACTCTGTGGACGAAAGAGGCACAAAGGGCCTTATCAGCCGCAGGTATTCAGTTGGTGCCAGTTAGCAGGCTTCAGGAGGCCGACCAGCTTGACGGCTTGCTCTCTCTGTGGGACTCTGACGCCGACACTGTCCAGATGGCACACAACTTCACCGCATTAGCACTGGCTCAGCTGCACGAGGCAATCCGAACTGGCTTTGCCGTGCCAATGGTATGGGTCACCCGTCATGCCGTGGGTGCCGGAGCCGATGACCGGCCCGTTAGCATCGGAGCCGGACCGTTGTGGGGCCTCATGCGCGCCGCTCGGAGCGAGCATCCGGAGCTGCGTCTGCGCTTGATCGACGACGATGAAGAGACGAAGTGCGCCACCCTCAGCCTAGCGCTTATGCTGGCTGATCTGACAGAACTTGCTGTCCGCAGAGAACAGCTGCTCATGCCACATATGGAGCGCGCTAGCCGGGCCGCACCGCCGCCAGTCGGACAACCATTCGTTCGAGCCGGCGGCGCTGTGTTGGTTACGGGCGGCCTGGGTGATCTTGGAAGCCTCGTAGCCCGTAGACTGGCCACCGCCCACGGTGTTTGTGACCTTGTTCTGGTGTCGCGGCAGGGCACAAATTCTCCCGGTGCTGACGGACTCGTGGCCGAGCTTGCCGAACTGGGTGCCAAAGCCACCATAGTTGGCTGCGACTTGGCAGATCTTGATAGTCTCGGATCAGTCATGCAGTTATTTACGCCGGATCGACCCTTGCGCGGCGTGATTCATGCTGCTGGGGTTGTCGATTCGGGTACTCTATCGTCCTTGACGCCTCACAAGTGTGCGACGGTTTTCGCGCCAAAAGTGGACGGCCTATGGAATCTGCACCAACTCACCAAGGACATGGATTTAGATCTGTTCATGATGTTTTCCTCTATATCCGGTGTCATAGGCCTGCCGGGTCTAGCAAACTACGCCGCCGCCAACTCCTTTATTGACTCGCTCGCATACCTGCGACGTGCCCAGGGCCTGCCAGCCAGCTCGGTGGCCTACGGTACGTGGGCTGGAGACGGCATGGCGACCACTCTCGTCCCAACCACCCGTGCCCATCTCTCGCAGCTTGGACTAGGCTTCCTCCCACCGGAAGCTGGATTGGAGATTTTCGAGCAAGCTGTTCGTCAAGGCCGCGCCCTGACTGTAGCTGCGGTCCTTGATTTACAGCGCCTCAAGGCCTATTATGAAGAACAAGGCGGTGTTTCTCCATTGTTGCACTCGATGCTGGGCGAAACAAAGGTCCGGAAGCCGGTCAATGAGGCCGTCAACTTGCGCGAAGTGTTGGCGGACGCTGCTCCTGAACAGCATGACAGCATCGTCTTGCACATGGTCCAAGCAACGATAGCCAAGGCATTAGGGTACACCAAGACTGAGGATGTCGATGCCAGTCGACCTCTGCAGGAATTAGGAATTGACTCCCTGACAGCAATCCTGACTCGCAACCATCTAGCGACGTTAACAGGAATGGCATTACCACCCAATATTGCCCTGCTTTACCCCAATCTGAAGTCGCTGAGCGAGTTCCTGTTGTGCCGGCTGCTTGGCGAGGTCGAGAGCAGCGCATCCAGTCCATCAGAGACCGATGGTGCGACATCAAGCACGCCGACGTCGGCTGCTTCTTATGTCGACATGGCCGACATCCGGAGGGGCGTTCTTGATTCCACATTCCAGTTCGACAACGCTGCTTCTTCTGGTGTCCCCGAGGCTGTTTTCGTGACTGGCGCAACCGGCTTTGTTGGCGCATTCATGGCCCACGAGTTTCTCAAAAGAGGCATTTCGGCGTACTGTCTCGTGCGTGCCAGCGGCTTCCAAGAGGCGCAGGAACGCATGATCAAGACGCTGAAACAATACAGCCTCTGGCGGCCCGAGTACGAGCCACTGCTTGTAGCGGTGGCCGGTGATCTCTCCCAGCCCCTACTCGGCCTTGACGAGGTTGTCTTCGACGACTTGGCGAACCGTGCTGACGCCATTCTTCACTCTGGAGCTCTTGTCGACTGGATGCGCCCGTTGGAAGACTACATCGGCCCCAACGTCCTCGGCACCCACGAGGTCCTCCGTCTCGCATCTTGCGGCCGCGGCAAGGCAGTCCATTTCATCTCCACCATTTCCACGCTGCCGATCCATGCTGGCTACGGCCTTGCCGAGCACGACAGAGAGCACGGCTACGGCACCTCCAAGTACCTCGCTGAAAGAATGATTGTGGCGGCCCGTTTCCGCGGCGCCAAAGCATCGTCCTATCGCTTGCCCTTTGTCGCTGCGTCGGCTGCCAGTGGCCATTTCAGACTTGATCGTGGTGACTTTTTGAACAACCTCGTTACTGGAAGTCTGGAGCTGGGTGCTTTTCCCGTGATAAATGCCGACCTGTCCTCCGTGCTGCCGGTTGATTATCTGTGCGGGACTATTGCCGCCATCATGACCGAGGACCAGGGGCGCGTTGGCGAGGACTATGACTTTGCAAACCCACAGGCACCCACGTTTAAGCACTTCTTTGCATTGATGTGCGCCGTTGGTGGTAGCAAAGAGATGCTCCCTTTCGGTGAGTGGCACCGCCGCGCACTCGAGTACGCGGCCGCCCACCCAAAGAGTCCGCTGGCCCGTATTACCACCGTTATTGACGGCTACACCGATGAAACTGCAGGTAGCTTGATGAGTGGGAGTCCAGTCGGCAAGCATGTATTAGGGCTGGATGCCTATCAGGCCCCGCCGTTGGATGAGGAATACGTCCGCAGGTATGTGTATTGCATTGAGGCTGCGAGGGCGAAAACGCGTACATGAAATGTTGGAATGTACATTTACACGATGGAGCACGGTAGACTCTATAGGTCGCTCATGTAAAGCTCGCGTAACAGACTCGCTGCGTGCCGGTTGGTCCTCTCATTCTGTTCCTAAGCCCGGTCCGGGCTGACCTCTTGAGTCTATGCTATAATACGTTCTAGGCGGGTACTAGGTTGCCGTACGGTTGTCCTTTTCTTTACAATTTACCAGTCATACCTAAAAGTATTATTTCTCATTCATGCTGCACCTTGTGATATTCAAGCAATCACTTAGCTCATCTTACGATTGGGCGGAATTATATATTGTTTGGGCAAATTACCGAAATTAAAATGATTTCCGTCACCGCATGTTACATTAGGAGAACAAGGGCTGTGAACTGAACGGGAAATAGCAACTCTGCCGTGATAGCTTCTGGTGATTTATTAACCCTGATAGCATGTCTCCATGTACATCAAAGTATCGAGCCCGGATGCTCGTCAAGCTGACAAAGTCCGTCTCGCAAACTTCGGAAGTGAACACCAGGGAAGTACTTCTTTCTATGAGCTCCAACCTTATCCGGGGGCATCGCGCATGCCCTGCTGATAGACAGCAGGTAATAGTCCGCCAGGACCTCCGCGTCCTCATCTTTCGCCGTCTTGATCATCCCTGCAACAGTATGCAACGAAACGTGTTGTGTCGGGATCCCAGGTCTGTACTTTTGCACAAAGAGCTTGGCAGCGTCATTCCAGCAGCTGCGCTCTCCTGACATGAAGGTATAAGGCTCCCATGAACCGCGTGGTGCCTCGATTAGGGATGCCAGCCCTCGCGCAACGTCGCGCGCCCATGTGAAATCCACAGGCTCATTCCCTGTGCCCGGGATTACGATCTTGTTCTCAGCCCAGTTCATGGGATGGAACGCGCCAATATCTTTACTGTATCTGTTCTTGGACGGCACAAAGTAGTCACTTAGCCAGCCGATACAAACCAACGTCCACTCGAGATCCGTCTGCGTCCGGAGCATCTCGCGTATCGGCTCGTGTGGTGCGTAGTAGAAGCCAGGTTCATCTGGATACGCCTCAATATTTGCTGCAAACTCGGCGGGAATGAAGCGCTTGCACCGGGGGCTCTCTTGGCAGGCCAGGATGAGGTTTCTGTGGACCTTGGTATAGGCCGGGGAAGTGTCTGAGATTGTCGATATCAATACCTCGCAGTCGGCCAGCGGAGCTTTCAGAGACGATGGGAAATAGTCCGTGATGGCCTGAGCGACACCTTGGCTCTCGAGCTGGGGCTTGTAGCTTCGCGTCAGGATAACGAGTACATGGCCGGCTTTGACAAACTCTTCACACATGTAGCGAGTCAGGTCGCCGTAGCCAGCGATTGCCACACGCATTTTTGGGTAGCAGAGCAAAGTTACGCCTGCGAGACAGCCATGATGGGTCAGGTAGAGGTGTGATATGACTTCCAAACTGCAATTTCTCTCGGCGTACGGCAAAGCGAGTGAGACGAGTGCCACCGGTAAGGTATGTCAGACTTGGTCAAACATCTTTGACCCCTTTTCCGGTGCAAATGCCCTCGGCTTAGTTGCTTGAGCACAGCGCTCGATTCTCTCGGCTATGCGGCGCTTGAATAACCCGTATCAAAGCGCGGCTGATGGTCCATTGAAGCACCCAGTGCATTAACTACTCCTTCTGGCCGCAGGCATCCCGTATGGACCCGTCGCCGGCATACACGAGTGTATTATCTCGTCTTCAAAGATGCTGGAGACGCGGGAAGCACGACATGGTTGCTTGCAGCAACGGCATCCTGGCCGCGGGCAGTCTCCATCACCAGCATCCTGCATTATCGACATTGCGGCTCACCATCCGCGTTCCACTATGCATTGCTTGCTCCTGCAGAAGTGGGTTGGCCAACAGACACTTACCAAATTGTAAAGTGGCTGCATGACGTCGGATTTGTAACTGTTGGCCAGTGACAGACGTGTACCTGCAGCCAAAATTCCCCGTAGGTAACGGATCCAGACTCTTGCTTATCGCGCCCCTTGGTGGGCACATGCAGAAGGTCTTGACTATGCAGCATAGCATTTACTGTTTGGTAACTGGTTACTCCAAGAAATACTCGGCAACTGGGTCGGCTTATATCGGGCAACTAGCTCGAGTGTCACCAAGACTTGGGTAACTTTCGCGCTTCCAAAACCTTCCACCATTACGCAAGTATTCGTTGCTTGTCGTCGTCGCCTCTGCAATGGTCGTCGTCGCCGTTGCTGGCGGCACCGGCGGTGTCGGTCGCACCGTGCTGGATGCTATTGCAAAATCGGGCCAACACCAAGCCATCGTGCTTTCAAGGACGGTAAGCTGCCGGCAAGTCCTGTTGATGCAATCATCAAACTTACACTGTTCAGACATCAGCTGCCACCGCGGTAAACAAACCCAAACATTTTGCGGTGGATTATGAAAGTGTGGAGCAGATGAAGCAGGTTTTGCAAGACAACAATGTTGAAGTCGTTGTATCAGCCTTGCTTCTCGTTGATGAAGACGTTGCGCAGTCGCAGATCAACCTGATCCGGGCCGCCGCTCAATCAGGAACTGTAACCAAGTTTATTCCTAGCGAGTACTATATCGATTTCCACGCTCCAATACCGTAAGTTTCACGCCAGTCAGTTCCGTCAGGACAGCAGTGCTCACCTTGCTCCAACAGCGGTGCGGATCTATTTACCAACTTTCAACTCGAGGCTGAAGCAGAGCTCTCGCGCCATCCGCAGTTGACTTGGACGCTCATCAGAGTCGGCATCTTCCTGGACCACCTGACTATGCCACATAACCCCAAGACAACCTACATTAGCCCATTCTGGGTCTTTGTCGACATGGACCATGAGCAATGCGTCTTTCCGGGTGACGGGTCACAACCACTTGTACTCACGCACTCACAAGATCTCGCAGCATACATTGAGCGCCTAGTAGGCTTGCCGGCTGAGAATTGGCCGCGCGAGTCTCTGGTTGCGTCAAACAAGCTCCTGGTAAAAGACCTCGAATCGCTTGTGAAGAAGGTCACAGGTATATAGCCGAATACCTACAAACAACATGTCCACGCCGCTAACATGTGTAACAGGGCGAAACTTCAAAGTCACGTATGACTCGGTGGAAGAAATTCACAAGGGTCACATCACGCCACTGCCTTCTAACACGGCCGTATTTCAGGATCCAGCCAAGGGTGAATTGTTTCACGACGTTGAACGCCAGGTCATGCTTTCCATGTTGAGCGGAGCGCATAACTTGCCCGGCAGGAATCTCGCTGAGCTTTTTCCCGAGGTTCAAACGACCAATATTGAAGACTTTTTCAGGGCGGGCTGGACACTGAAGGAAAGCACGGCATCATAGCAGATGTCACCGGTAGTAGGGGAGTCTGTATGGAGATATCTGGCAACCGAGGAGTCGATATTGCTCCAAGTTGCTGGACTCGGAAAAAATAAATATATTTAATGGGGTGATGCAAGAATTGACATCAGCCACCCAGTTGCTATGTACCCCATTGAGCCGAGCGTGCATGGTTGCAAACGCCCTCTTTACACAAAGCAGTTTCGAATGATTTGTTTGCGAAGCCGCTGCAACATTCAATCCGACGTGATGATTGAATACCATTTTGACCGGCAGTGCTATAGCGTCTTGTCTCTCTAAATCTCCATGACCCTATAGTTCTTCTTGGCATAGAGAAACCAAAGCGCAGCAATAAACATGGCAATGGCGACAAGAACTCCCGAAACATAATTCATCTGGCTTGGACGTACTTGTGCAGTAGCAGGAAAGCAATAGAAAATAAAAGCCACCACCGTCCATGCAAGCATTACGAGATTTGCAACGAGCCCCAGCTTGGGATACCAAAACTGGCCATGCCGAAAGTTGGATCGGCCTTGCCACAAAACTAGGACAGTAGGGATGCTGTAGCTGACGTACTGGAGTAGAATGCCAGTTGCAATGAGCGAGTTGAAGGCCAGTTCAGAGGCGAGATAGAGACAACCAAACAGGGCCGTGCCGACGGCAGAGCCCACCAGGGACCAGATGGGGGTGTAGAAGGGCGCTGGGAAAATCTTGCTAAAGTGACGGTGCAGCGGAAAGCCAGACTCTCGACTGATTGTCCACGCAAGCCGAGACTGCCAGGTCTGGATGGACCAGACGGATGCCAGGACAAGAATGAGAACAGGGACCCAAAGGCCAATGGCAGCAGCCTTGTTGCCCGTGATGCGGTTGAAGATGCCAATCCCCGAGTAGTCACCGACATCCACGGGGCCGAGGTTGACTAGAACCGCCAAGACGACCAAAAGGCCGCTGGTGGATGCTATGAAGATGGTCCATATCAACGCTTTGGGGATATTCGTGCCGGGAGAGGGCATCTCCTCGGCCAGGTGTGTCACAACATCCAGGCACGAGAAGCACCAGTTTGGTCCATTCAGGCCGATGATGAAGGCCACACCGTCAGGCCACCCGGAGGTGTTCACAGTTGTAAAGAAGTCTTTGGCGCTCGTGCGGGTGTTGGCCATGGCGAACAAGGTCATGATGATGACACCCACGGAGACGACATTGAAGAGCAAAAAGGCCTTGGACAGCCGCGGCAGCACGTGCTCGAAGCAGGCGCCAAAGCAGGTTACTATGTTGATGACCTGAAAGGCCACGAACCCCATCCATCGCTGGTAGATGAATCCGGGCTGGAGAAACGCAACGATAGAAAAGGCGTTCAGGGGAACGGAGAGGTTGCCGGAGGAGCCGGTGGCAATGGCGGCAATCCAACTAATCATTGCCGCAGTATAGGACAGGCCCCGGCGATGCCTCTTTGGTGCCAGCTTGTTGACCCATACGTACTGGCCGCCGGGATGAGGCATCGCGGACACCAGCTCGGCGAGAGTCGTTGCTGTAGCCAGCCCGACTCCCGCCATGACCAGGAAACCCCAGAAGACCTGGGGCGAGCCCCCCATGGGCATGGCTGTGCTCAGAATGAGTGGGATACCGACGGCCGTGTTGGTGACTCCATATCCGATGCCAATGGCTGATAGGGTGGTGAATGGCTTTTGCGTCTGGATGACGACATTGTCCTCGGGGACTAAGCGAGCAGCGTGCTCATCGACTTCCTTGACAGCATGTTTTGGTGGCATTCTGCCCAATTTAGCGGTGCCCGGCTGTGGTGACGGTTCGCGGGTCACGCCAAGGGGCATGCGAAGGCAATGGTGGAATTGTGTCTGGTTGCCGGATCCATGGGTAGATTTGGGTCTTGGGTTTGATGACGGAAGAGTAAGACACGTTTCTGGGGAAGTGACTGTGCGACCGAACAATCACGGAGTGAGACATGCGTTGTATAACCGTTTAAATCTTATTCTATGGTACATGCCAGCTCAACTATATAGACTTTCTAGAATCCGCCACTCAGCCTCCCCCGCACCGCCATGTTTTGCAAAGATCGGGTTAGGAGAGACTAGTAGCTCTGTCAGCTTCAATGTCTGGATCTTGATCAAGAGGATAGAAGCCAACTGGCCGATCGGCCATGATTCCACCCAGTGCTGTATCTGTTACACGGAAACGGCCCAATGTCAAAGGTTACACAAGGGCTACGGTCACGAGACCTAGGCAAAGTCCCTCACCGACTTCTTGTATTTAAAGAGGTCTTTGGTCAACGAGGCCTTGAGGAAAACCAAGGACCTTTGATATCAAAGACTGTTATTAGATGAATTGAGCTAATTTGCTCCAAGCCCTCTATTGAGCCCTTGTCACAGTATCCGAGGGACAATACTTCATAGCTACGTTCCTCTATGCTTTGCGGACCTTTTTCCAGGCGTATAAATCACATGCATACCGGTATTCCGTGTAACTCGAGGCCTTTGGCTGGACGTTTGCAACGTTCACTAAAGAAAGCACTCTGCCCCTCCTCCCCCACCAGGCAAGCTTGCAGAATATCGATGGGGGCTAATAGATCCTTATCTCGGGGGACAGTAACATCCTGATGTGACCTTTCTCCCCCTCTCGCCAGTCTCCATCAAGACTGTATCGGACTGCGGTGGCACCTACTGAGGCTGGACAGGGTTTGCAATGCAACTGTCGGATTCCAGGGGTCACAGACATGGACCAGCGAGCAAAGGGGTCAAAAAAGAAAAGTCCAAGGCCAGAACCTGCACCTGCGGCTAATACAACCTCGGATGCAGCAAGCCCACCCGTGACGCGGCAGCAGGCGGCAGCAGCGGCACGGCTTGAACGCTCCGAGAAGGGGCCAACTTCCAAGGGTCCTCTTGTGAGGGTCGAGAACAGGTAGAAAAAGCACCTTTGAATGCGTTGAATGTTGTCTTGTATACGGGACGGGAGTGAGTGGCACAGCTACCAAACACATCCATCCTGCGTCACCATCACACGGCGCACCTGGCTCGCACAACACGCCCTCCCTCAGCATAATCCAGAGATCTCACTCGCCTTGATCCGCCAGAATGGGTGCGTTTCCTCCCCCCATTGACTCGTCCTATGTACCCTCGGCCTCTCTCACAAGACTCCCCGCGACGGCGCCAACCGCAGACATCGTCGCCACCCTTGAGCGCGATGGAGCGCTCATCTTGGTTGATCTCGTGTCTCCCCGGGACGTAGCGGCCATCAATGACGAAATCGAGCCGTACATTCAAAAGGCCAAGGCCGAAACCCACGAGGCATACGATCTGGTTCCCAAGCAGACCATCATGGTCCCCGGGGTCGTGGGCAAGTCGCCAACAATGGCGAGAATGGCCGAGCTGGAGGTGATTGACACGCTGCGCACGCTGGTCCTGCAAAAGAAGTGCACGGCGACGTGGGAGGACCGCACAGAAGAGTTCTCCATCGACCCTCTGTTGAACAGCAGTTTGACATACCACATCAGCTACGGCGGTCCGCGGCAAAGGCTGCACAGAGACGACATGATCCACGGCATCTACCACAGCGGCGGCGAGTACAGCCTGTCCAACGAGACGATGCTGGGCTTCATGATTGCCGGGTCCAAAACCACGCGGGAGAACGGAGCGACCATGGCTATCCCCGGCTCTCATAAATGGGACCACGCGCGGGTTCCCAGGGTCGATGAGGTTTGCTTTGCGGGTGAGTCTAGCTTTGATATCCCTTTTAGGAACTGTGCCATATGTCCTAATACACGATTATTATAGAGATGGAGCCGGGCTCTGCGTTGGTTTTCCTGGGCACGGTCTACCATGGCGCTGGGCACAACTCGGTGCCTGACCAAGTGCGCAAGATATACGGCCTGTTTTTTATCCCGGGAACGCTCCGTCCCGAGGAGAATCAGTTCTTGGCAATTCCTAGAAGCAAAGTCCTCGGAATGAGCGATAAAATGCTCTCTCTCCTGGGGTATAAGAAGCCAGAGACCTGGCTTGGCATTGTGAATAATGGCGATCCGGCCGAAAACCTCGCAGAGGTTCTCCGCATGGCCAACTCATAATGTCGACTATGGCTGTCGAGTGTTTGTTCCTGCATAGTGTGTGAGCACACGGATGTTACTATTTACAATGCTCATGATAGCTTCAGAGTTCAACACTTGTCTTTTCATCACAATAAAATCACCTTCTTATAATCGTCCATTATATTCGCAACACATTGGTTTCAGAGTTCCTCTCTGCTATTCCGTAGAGTGAGGCGCCCTCAACAAGTCTAGAGCTGCAATGCAGTACAGAACGCTGGGAAGAGGCAACCTGCCGCTGTTGTACATCTACCAGCTTATTCACACCGGCATCGTACATCAAAACGATATTGGAACCATCGTTTACATCAAAGCTACCCCGTCCTACCTAGCGATGCTCTATATTGTATAGATTCCTCCCTCAAGCTGCCCTCACTCAGCTTCCCCCGTCAGCTTAAACTCCTCCCTCACCGCTCTCCCCAACTTCTCAACCCCGAGCTTCAGATCCCCCGCCGAGGCCGTGGCGACAAACGTCATCCTGAAAAACACCCTGTCCTCACACCCCCCAACATCGCACCAACTCCCCCTCGCAACAAGAACACCATTGCTCTCGGCCCGCTCGTAGATCCCGTCCTCCACTTCTCGACACAGCTGGCTCCTCCTCTCGGCACAATAGTCAGGATGCCTCTCCAGCGCGGCGCTTATCCACAGGAACATGCCGTGCGTCGGCGCCGTCCACGCACACACCTCCCGCGGCAGGTACTCGTCGCACGCGGCCACCATGACATCTCTTCTCAGTTTGTACTCCCCCGACAGGTGGTTCAGCCAGCCGGCGAAGCCCTCGGGCCCCCAGCTCTCAACAAGCAGCTTGTACAGCATGACCTGCGAGGGCCCGCTGGGCGACGAGGGCCCTACCTCGGCAAAGTTGGCAAACATGTCGACTACCTGTCTGCTGGCCGTCAGCCAGCCGCAGCGGAGGCCGGGCGCGAGAATCTTGGACGTGGATTCCACGCGGATGACGCGCCCGGACTTATCAAGAGACAGGTACGACGTGGGCAGCGACTTTTGGAAGTTTCCAAGAGGGCAAGATGGGCGATCCGGCGAGGGGAGCTCGTTGAGCCGTAGGAAAAAGTACGGGTCGTCCTCGAGGATCAACAGGTCGTGCCGCTCGGCAACTTGGTAGACGGCCCTCTTGCGCGCCGTGGACTGCGTTATGCCCGTCGGATTGTGGCCCGACGGAATGGTATACAGCACAAAGGGCTTGCGTCCCCGCGACGTATCCCAGTTCCGAAGCCTGGCGTCCAACTCGTCTGGCATCAGGCCGTCGCCGTCCATGCCGATGCCCAGCGTCCCGAGTCCCTGGGCTCTCGACGCCATAAGCGTGCCCGGGTACGTGAAGGCCTCGGTCAGGATCCAGTCGCCGCGGTTGCAAAACATGCGCAGCACCATTTCAATGGCAGACGTCGACCCGCACGTAAGGGTCGTGTCCCAGTCTTGGTAAGGCGGGCTGTGAACCAGGCTGGTGTTGTCCCGGAAGAAAGCCACCAGTTGACTCCAGCCCGAGGGCGCCGCGTAGTTCAAGGCCGAGGAGAGATCAAACGCAGCCTCCCCCTTTGTACATGTCATGGAGCTAGTTGGGTTCTTGAGCGCCCGAGACTGGCGGCTCTCTTTGGTTCCAGTCATGGTCATGGATTGCCATGGGTAGTAGAGCGAGGTTGGTCTGCCTGTGCCCAGTGGAATCGTGGTGGATGGATTGACCGTCTTGGACGAGTCTTTCAGGGGCGATGCCCCTTGGGTCAGGCTCTCGTCGCTCCATCGATGGTTCCATCGCTTCGCGAGCCTCTTGGAAGTGCCATTGTATGTCGACGCGGGCTTCACGGTGCTCCAAACCTCACCCTCGGGGGCATCATATATCTTGTCGCGTTCCAGGTGCATAACGACGAATGTCGGATGTCCTCTGGGGTCATAAGAGTACTAAATAAATGAAAGAGGCAAAGTCATTAAGCAAGGTTCATAGAAATTGCCCGCGGCACAAACAATGGCAGCGTCATTTACATACATCCTTTTGCCAAGCGAAAGCACAACCCCCCAGTACGCCAATTGTCCCAGTTCTGGAGGCGATGATGAATTTTCGTTCAAAAGTAGTCAATGGCTACAAGAAGATGAAGGAGATGATGGAAACCAGTGGGATCAAATGCTCGTAATGATCCGTATAGTCACAAGGGGGCAACCATGACGTATTTCAAGGCCCCAGTGGCACCACGTCAAACCGGAACCTCGATGCAAAAAAAAAAAAAAAAAAAAACAAATCAAACCTCTGGGGTCATAAGAGTACTAAATAAATGAAAGAGGCAAAGTCATTAAGCAAGGTTCATAGAAATTGCCCGCGGCACAAACAATGGCAGCGTCATTTACATACATCCTTTTGCCAAGCGAAAGCACAACCCCCCAGTACGCCAATTGTCCCAGTTCTGGAGGCGATGATGAATTTTCGTTCAAAAGTAGTCAATGGCTACAAGAAGATGAAGGAGATGATGGAAACCAGTGGGATCAAATGCTCGTAATGATCCGTATAGTCACAAGGGGGCAACCATGACGTATTTCAAGGCCCCAGTGGCACCACGTCAAACCGGAACCTCGATGCAAAAAAAAAAAAAAAAAAAAGACTAGACACATCTCCGCTAGACTACTCAGTCAAACACAATGATGGGAGGCATTTACCGCTGCAAGACGGCATGGAAATGGACTACTAGGACTAGTATTCCGCGAATGAGTGGATCACGATTTAAGCTAACCATGCATATATCAATGGATACGCAGCAGCAGGCACTACAAGTCACCGGATGGTAATATGCGTGAACAATTATGCCTTCCATGCTACGCTGTGCCACTTCCAACTTCCGTGTGTCGCCGTGGTTGCATGGAATCCCCTGCATGGTGGGAGCAGGTGCCGAAAGCAGGACACACAGCTAGCCACCGTCGACGAGCCAGACAGGCGACGTCTCGAAATGCAATGGCTGCATGTGGTAATTTGTGAATGACGCCAGCACATGTCTTTCCACAATTGGGGGACGTGCCGACCGACCGCAGGGACGAACGCATGGACTCGGTCGCAAACCCCAAGCACACTCGAGCAGCAAAATGAGCACTTCATATACAGCCCTAGCATTACTAGATAGCCCATCTGTAGCCACAGATGACATATACGAAAGGTCAATATACATCATTCCAGTCATCAAGTATGGTCGCGTGAAAGTGACGAAACCAAGCCAATCACCCTCCCGAAATAAATCCCTTCAAAACAGAAAGCAACCTCGATGATTATGGAGAAACAAAGGGGGAAATAAAAGAAACACAAAAGCAGCCCTTCACTTTCCTCTCTTGGTATAAGCCAAGGCAAAACAAAAAACGCGTCGGGGAATAGATTGCGGGCTAAAAAGTTGCCGCTGAAACACGCAACGAATCCCTCCTTACTCCGCCATGTCCGTCCGGATCGGTACAAGAATGTGCAAAATAACATCACGTCTCCCTGACAAAGGTGCTTGTTGTAGCATGTTCTAGTTTTGGGAACGATCCAACGTCTGCAGAATGTGCTCCGAGGATCCCACAATCCATTCCAGCCTTCGTCGCTCCAAAGGATAACTTGTTTCGTACTTTTCCATTACTGCGTTCAGTTTCCCAATGAACCAACAGATGGTGTCATACGCCTGTTTCACCACTTCGCGCCCTAGTTCCTTCCAATCCTGTGCCGAAATGTTAGAATATCACCTCGCCAAACACCACGTGTTCAAAGGGGCAACTTACGCGTTCTGCGGCTCTCCTGTCAATAGATCGCACAGCCATCTCAATCCAATCGATTCGCTGTTTGAGGAAATTATTGACATCAAGGTCTTTCGAAATGGCACCAATGGCAGCCAAGAGCAACACTGGCGGGAGATGCTCGAATCGGCTGGGTGACTGCAAACTGAGGCAGCGCTGGAAAACTTCCTTTTGATGGCCGCCTTTGATCCATTTCAGCAACGCTTCCTGCAGCTTATCGTCCTGTATCAGCACCTCAACATCGTGGACCTCCCTGTCCGCCTCAGAGTCGACATTGCTGCCCTGGTTGGCAAAGGGGCCGCCTACAGAGGCAACCTTGCTTGCCGAAGTCACGTCCGTCTGAGAAGTGGAATCTCGAGGGCTTCCCATATGTTGACCACTGCGCAAATAGTCGGGCCCGGCCATGTACTGTTGCTGCTGCTGGTAGGTGGGAGGCTGGGTTGTCTGGTAGCCGGCGAAACTCGGGTGTGGGTTCGGTCCTGTCATGAAGCCATTGTTGGGGTAGCCAGCTTGAGGACCAAAGCCCCGGAATCCAGGGCCGCCATCTCGGGCTTGACTTTGGAGCCCGGAAGCCCCAGGCAGCTCATGGACGGGCTGCTGTTTCAACTTCAAAAACTCGGCCTGAAGCGAGGACTGGGACGCAGCCATTGTGGACACCATGTCCGTCAGGGTGGTGACGTATGAAAGTAGCTGATCGATTTTGTTGCTATCGGCGGCATGTTGGGACTGCATCTGCTCGAACTTGTCGTTGTACTGCTGATGAACTTCGGCCGCGGCTTGCTGAGCTGACTGGGTCGCGATGTTTCGGAACGTGGGAGTTAGGCGTTGGCTGAGCGTAGCAACAATCTCTTGCTGCACAGTCGAGTTGACACCTGTACCAACACGCTCGGCAATGGCCGTCACAAAATCCACAGATCGTAGTGACCTGTTCAGAGCCTGAGGCAGGGCACTTTGAATCTCCTTCTGCACGGCCGACGCGACATTGGGTTGAAGCTTGTGCTGAAGCACGTCAGAAACAGCTTTCGTGGCCTTTTCACCAATAGCAGGGACCAGCAATTCGGTAAACTGGTGATGAATCAAGGATTCGAGGACCTTTTGCGTGTTCTCGTTCAGCACCTCGGACACCATATCCAGCAGCTTAAGCTGATGCTGGTTGAAATTCTCGTCCCGCAGTCGAGCACCTTCATCGATCTTACCCTGGAGATTCTTGAGAGAGGATTTGAGAGTGTCGGATACGGCGGCAGTTAAGCGTGTTTGCATGGCGTTGATGGTCGAGTCGAGGACTTCAAAGGTCACACCAGAAGCAACAGCAGCGGTACTGTTCGATTTTGCGGCGGTTTCGGCTCTGCCTGTTTGCGTCCCGCGAGGTGGGTTGGTAGCTCCATTGGCAGCGGCTTCTGCTTCCCTGGCGGCAGCATTGCCCTTCTTCTTTCGAGATTTGCGCTCCGGCTTTTCGGCCTGGCCTTCCTTAGAGGACTGAGCGGGAGTCTCGGCTTCTTTTGCTTCACTACTCGGTTTTGCGGGAGTGGCTACATCAGATCCACGTTGGGCGGCATCGCTCTGTGCAGCTGGGGTGGACTGTTGGCTCGGCGATTGCTTGGTTGCGGCACGATGAGCAGTGTTCTTAGCATGCTGGTTTCCGCCGTGACTCGGATCAACTGCCTGGGGCTTATTAAAGTCGGAGACGGTAACAAGACCCTCCTTCACAGCATCGAGCACAAGAGTGTTGTCAGACCCTCCCAGGTCACTCTTCTTGACCAGCACGCAAGCCACACCCTTGGAATGCATGGCATATAGTTCAAACCGGAGACGGTCTTTGTCTCTGGGATCCTGGCCCGCCATGTGTCCCATTGCTTGCTTCGTGATCGGGGTGTAGAGAATGTCCAGGCTGCGTAGCACCCCTCGATTAGCGAACGAATACTCGCGGAAGCCACTAATGATAGCTGTACTACTCGGCTTTCGAATTGAGCAAGCTTCGTTGGGTTCAAGAGGCAGGAGGAGTTTCTCGATATAGTCGACCTGGGACACGTTCTCGAGGCTATATTTAGGGGCCGAAAAGTGCGCAAAGTAGACCGAATTACGGGTGGGATGGCCAATAACAATCATGCCACTGGCAGGGTGGTACATGACGCTACAGACGGCATCAGATTCCTTGCTGTGTGGGAGGTTGAACTCTTGAACGGCCTTGCCGAGAGCCAGATCCCAGACTTGGAGAGTGTGGTTTTGCTTCATACCAACCAGCATGTAGCGAAGGGGGCCTCTCTGCTCGTATGCTTTCTTCCTATCCAGCAACAAGACCGAGGTGGGCCACGCTTTCTCGCCTTCAGGGGTGGTTGCCAGAGTCATCAGAGGCTCCTTTACTTCCAATGATGATTCGGCAGGCAGAGGGTAACGATAGTCAGAGTCTTGCTTGACTTTGGTGAGTGCACGAACATCCCAGAACTTGACTCGGCCTGATTTGTCAAGAGATACGACAACTGAATCGTCCTGGCTGAATGTGAAATCTTTGCCAGCCTTGCCAGTGTTGATCTTGAGAGAGCACTGGGCGAGAAGAGCTTCGGTATCAACAACACGGTCGTGGCCCGCCTTGAAAAGCTTACGCTGGAGAATGTAAGCGGGCCAGATGAAGTTGATGGATTTGCCACGCCCGACGGCGAAAAATTCGGGGTGAGCAGTGGAAGCGCGTGCTCGAGTCTTCAAGAGGCCACCCGGGGCATCACCGTCATGCGAAGAGATGGGAGGAAGGGCGAACCCATACTGCTCCAAGTGCGGGTCCTCAATGTGATCCTTCTCACCGTCCTTGATCTGCACCCAGTAGACAGCACCGCCGACGCCAGTACCAATGATGGCTTCCCGGTGAACGTCTCCGCTCTCGGGAGGGGTGACAGACATGGCAACATTGAAAATGCGGTCCTTGGTGTCAGTAAAAACCTTGGCATCCTTGCCATCATCTTGGCGAATAACACGTAGACCGCCCTGTTTGGACATGCCATAGGTCATGTAAGTCTGAGAAGCGGTGAAGAGGTTGCGGTCGATTTGGTCAAATTCCTTCTTGAGACGGGCAATGTCCATGATGGACTCGTCACGGAACTCGGGTCGGATCTCGTCTGTTTCTTCCTTGAGGGAAATCGAATTCCACGGCTCTTGGGGGAACTTGTAGACTCGAACTTGAGGTAGCTCCTTTTCTTCTTCCACCTCAATGGTCTCCTCCAGATCAGCACTCTCCCAGCTATCAGCAACGCCGCGCACATTCTCGCCCGTAGCATTGCCAGAGTCAGATGCATCGTTCATGTACGACATTTCAGTAGCGCGGTAGACCTCGTTCTTTTCAAGGCCATTTTTGATATTTTGAACAATCTGCTCCTCAACTGACTTGACCATCTCGGTGTGGGCAATCTTGCTTGGCCATTCCTGACCAGGAGTCTCCTTGGATCCCTCGCCTTCGACCAAGCCAGCAGGGGCAATGTCGTACTCGGCTCTGTCAAGAGCCTCCTGGGCATCTTTGTCAGCCTGGTCAGCCAGGTCATTCACGGCCTCAGCAACAGTCTCCTTGCATTTCTCTGCGGAGATTGAGCTCTCAAACTCGGCCGGAAGGGCCTGCTTGGGCGACTGGGCGGTGGACTTGTGCGCATGGAGAGACGATTTGCGATTGGTGGCGTGGCGATTCTGATCTGGGGGGCTTGCAAGAGGGCTGCGTTCACTTCCAGCGCGGCGTTGGGAACCAGCGGGCGAGGACTGTTCTTTTTTGAGGATTTGAAAAGGAGGTTGCGACGTGTGTGACTGCGGCGACGACTGAGTGAGGCTACCCATCAGCTGCTGAAATAGAGCAGACATGTCAGCAGGGTCAGCAGGGTCAGCAGGAGGATCCTGTGATGGGAGCTGAAGCTGCTGATAAACATATGGCGGATCGTTGGACACTTGATGGTAGGCTTCTCTAACAGGGTTGGGCTGCTGGTGCTGATGAAACTGCGGTTGAGCATGCTGGTGGTGAGGCTGTTGCTGATAGGCATTAAGCTGCGGCTGTTGATGTTGGTACTGGTTGAAAAAACGGTTCGAATCAGTGGTGATCTCGGGCGACTGAGACGCTGCACCTTTGGATCTTGAGGTTTCGGTCAACATGGGCTGGTCAGTCTGACTGGGCTTGGGGCGGTTCAGCAATGCCAGCAAATATGACCTGGTATCGTTCGGTGGTGAGCCGTTTGCAAACGGATTTGTAATGGCAGGCTGAGTCTGCTGTGCAGTCTCATGAGCCCCCGCTGGAGCAGGAACAGGAGCAGGAGCAGCAGAAGCAGGTTTTTGAGACTCATCGTCAGTATCATGGGTGTCATGGGCGCCTCGCATCAGGGCGGCAAGCAGACCTGTCGGATCAGCCCCAGCAGGCGCCGGCTGGAGGATACGAGTGGGAGGCGACGAGTACTCAGGCTGCGAGTAGCTGGGTTCGCGAGACTGGTGTTGATGTTGCTGCTGCTGCTGGTGATGCGACGGTTGCGCATGCTGATGCTGACGTTGGGTGTTGAAGCTGCCCGACCCGCTGCTAAACTTTAGCAGATTCAACAGACTCGCCGTTCGGTCCGTGTTGGAGGGCATCCCGCCACTATTGACGGGAGGTGTCGGGGCCGGAGGGAGATCCATCGTGCGCTGAATATTGTCTGCGGTCGGAGGGAGGGATGAGGCGAGGGTGTAGAAATACTCCAAGGCCGCAAATGCGTGTGCCACGGCAGGGTCGAGGAAAACCCAACGGACGTGGCGCAATTGAGAGCCACGGCCAGCTGCAAGTTTCCGTGTCGATTCAGACGGAAACAGAATTAACAAAGGTGCGCAAAGACAAAAACGAAAATGATGAAATACAGAGCGTCTCTCGGCCTTGCAACTCAGAATGCTTTCGTCAAAAGGATAACGGACGGGCAAAAAAAAAAAAAGAGAGATCTGGGTCAAAAAGGCGGGAGAGGCTGCGAGGAATTGGGTTCGGCCAGAAATTGGAGAGCAAAGAAAAGCTCGACTAAAGCCGAAGTCGCCTTAATAAGCAAATGAGTGGCTGTGAAGCGCCCGTGGAGCTGGCCAGACTCAGACAGGCTTTGGACATTGAAGCCCAAGACCTGCAGCGGTGCAGCGCTGATGCCCAGCCACCTCACTGTGCTTTGGCGCAACATTGTCGACCAGTCAAAGCCCGTGAGCACTTGAGACCATGGACGATACGAGGAAGGGCATCTAGCACGGTGTAGACTTGGCCCTGACATTGACCCAGGCTCAACCTGGCCGCTGATAAGTTCCGAGTACCTAGGTACTTGGTATTCCAACAAACCGCCACGCCAAGTATCAGCTGCGAAAACGGCCGGCACTCGCAAAGCGGTGACCAGCCTCTTTGCGAGCAGGCGTTGCCGGGATGTGAGCATGTCACGCCCATCAACTGATGGTTCTTTTTTCCTCTTCTGCTGTCTCTACCAAGTGCTGTCTGATGTCTCTGGCGTCCAAGTACGGAGGCCTCCATACAGCGTGAACAATTCATCCAGTGACTTTGAACATCCAAAGCCAACAACGCGCATCTGCTGCACATGTTAAAATAGCCAATAAACAATCATTGAACGCATACGGAGTGCGGAGTAAATAACAAGCATATTAAACCCCAGCAGCCGCAACAATTGCCCACAGTCAACGCAAGCAGATCGCCCACCGCCCTCCAAAACGGCGCTAAGCCAAAACGGCCAAGTCCGGCTCTACGCCCGCCCGCCACGCCTTCAACACTCCACGAGGCTCTTACTCAGCCATACTCGTCCAAACTTAACCTCAACCTAAACACTTTGCCGCGCCTCGCATCACGACGCCTGCGCACCGCACTCCTCCAGCGCGCATCACATGCCTCCCGCCTCGTAAACCACCATGTTCTGCCTCAGAAGGTAAAGAAACCTCCTCGGCGCCACTCCTGTCTCCCGCTAACGGCCGCGGCAGCTGGCTCCCCCTCCTCTTCATCCCTACCAACGCCTCGCCGGCCTTCATCTTCCTCTTCTTCGTATGCACCTACTTCCTCAACCGGCCCTGCGTGTACTGCTCCATCCTCCTGCTCATCCTGTTCCTCACGTCATGCAACTGGTCCGACCGATGCTTCTTCGACTTCCAGAGCAACTGGTTCCTCCCGCGGCCGAGCACCACGGCCGAGCACGCCGACCCGTCGTTCAACGCTACCGTGGTGGAAATGGCAAACTCGACGGCCAAGGCGCTGGCCGGCGCGGCAGCCGACGCCGTCTCTACCAAGGGCACCGAGTGGACCGGTCTCGGGGTGGAGTGGCTGCGGACGTTGTTGGGCAAGAGAGAGTGGAAGGTGGACTGCATGGACATCTACATCCAGTTGTGATGCGGGGGCCCTGGTATTGGGGTTGTGATAGGGGTTTCAGGCTGTACGAATATGTCATGATAGTGTATATGAAGAATGAATTTTTGTCTGATCACAAGCAGAAAGGAACAACCCAGCTAGATAGCGAAGATACCAATCAATAGCGCTGTTACGAATTGAACCTAACCTCCTCCATATAGCCAAAGCATGTATTTGGTTCCAAATGAGACTCTGTCCACGCTGACCATAATACCCTGCATCCAACATGTCACTGCAACTTTCAATCACACCAACCCAGGCATCAGCGAGCACATATCCTACAAATATCGTGTATTTAGCCTATATTTAGCGCGTAATCATACTAAATCAATCTTGAATCGCCCGCTTGCAATCATGCCATCGTCATCACACAAGAAATGTCATCTCCTATAGTTCTTCACCCATCCCATCACCGCCCTCATCCCCCACAGATACCTGCTCCGGGATAGTTTCTTCCCCGACAGCCTCGGACTTCTCAATATTCGGAACATCTTTTGCCGTCTCCGTAGGCAAGGCTTCAACCGTAACCGTCTCAACCATGGTTTCCGTAATGGTCTCAGCCATCGTCTCTGTAATCGTCTGAGGCACCATTTCCGTAATCGTCTCAAACTTGGTTGCTGTAACCGTCTCAATCATCGTTTCCGTACGAGTCTCCGTCATTGCCTTTGTAACAGTCCTAGTAATCTCAATCGTACTCGTAGGTGCAGCATTCAATAACGTCTCAGATACCTGTGTCGTGCTAGACGCCTGGGCAGACTCCATTATTTCAACCTTTGGCTCGTTTTCAACATTAATTGTCTCCCGCGCTGGTTGTTGTTCAGCGTCAACCGTTGAAGGATCCACCATCCCAGAAGCAGTTTCAGCAGGCTTTTCGACTACGACTGGTATAACTGGTTCTGGAACAACAGCCTTTACGCCAACGTCAGTCGGTGTCGATCCACTCCTGACAGCAAGCACCAGTACCACAAGACTCAACAGTCCTATCAAGACGTTCTTTTGATCCTTCATGAGCACCTTGACAGCTTCAAGGATGAGCTCAGGCAGCGAAGAGCTCTTATAAGCTTGCTGCCGGCTTTCGCGTCGTTCCTCTCGTCTCTCGAGAGCCTCCACAGACGGGGAAGCTGGTGTTTCCTGCGACACGAGATCCGAGCGTCGGGGCTGTGGAATGGATGAACTTTCTGGCCGAGGTGGTGGACTAGAGCCATAAACCTCTCTCAACCTTTTCTCATCTCCCATTTCGCAGTCATTCTCATATGGTGGGCTGGATTTGGCGTGGATCTCAGGCTGAGGGGGCTCCTCCATATGGACGGACATATCCATGTGCTCGGGCATATACGACCGTTCAGCAGCCTCCTCCTCTTCGTGTTGCTGAATCTCCTCGTCAACAGCTGCAGCCGCAGCCGCAGCAGCTTGTTCTTCCATTTCCAGAGCCCTCTCCTGCTCAGCAGCCAAACAGGTGAGTTCCTCTTGGAGCTTCGAGTCAATTATGGGCTCCAGCTCGACATCGACTCGTTCCATATCTTTCCAACAGGCTTCCCAGGCACCAGCTCGCATCAGGCCATTACTTGCATACACCTTGACTCGGTAGACCTTGCCGTCACCGAGCGAATCATATCTGATCTGTGAGCTGCAGGTCTTGCACCAATGAGTTTGCTCCGCCATGCTCTGTCGAGGCGAGCGGTGTTCATCATAATAATCCTCGTCTTCACTTTCCATCTCCTCCGACAAGGACATTTCATTTGATGGCCCCAAATAATGCCCACACTCCAAGATTCGGGCTCTCCGTCGAAGAGGGAGGTCCAGAGTCTCAAGCAGTCGCTCCTCCAAGACTTCATAGTCATTCTGCGGGTGGGGCAAAAGAATGCCGCGATCTGAAATTGTATCGGCTGTACGATCTTGCAGCTGGTTCCAGGACTCCCAAAGGGTTTTCCCCTCGGGACTCAATTCACTTGGCTGAGCATTATCCAAAACATGACCCCAGACCCAGCGTGATGGGAGCACAGTGACATGCAGCAGTACTAGTGGCGGTGTATTTCTCTTAAATCGAGGAGGAGTCTTAGTCTTCCTTGGTGAGTACTGTGCGGAGACACTCGGTGACCCAAGCCTCGAAACAGTCGATCTTGGTGTACGGCGACTGGATCTGGGAGTTCCAGTGGCTGACGCAGGCGGAGAAGACATCTGCATTGCCATGACAGAGGAGGGAGATCTGAATGTTGGCCTTCGCGTGCCCCGTATAGTGGGAACAAATTCCTCGTCCGCGTCAGACTGGGGTATATCCGAGATGCGGGCAGTCCTCGTCTTTGGCGGTGAAATCTGCTTGGCACCGTCGCGCTCGGCCTCAGACATGGACCCCATTGAGCTTCGAGGACTATTGTCGCTGAAGACATCATCCTCATGCTCGTGATGGGAGCTACTATCCCCACCCTCGTCTGCATGAGCGGTGTGTGCGGCATGGTCCTCCGAGGCTTGGCTATGACCAGCCTCCGATTCTGCTCCAAGGGATTGTCGATGACTCTCAGTGTAAGACTCGGTAGCGAAGCTTGTTTCTTCCTCTTCGGGTGCTGAGGCGGCGCTTTGAATAGAATCACGAGGGGCATCGGCAACGGCTTCTACAATGTTTTTAGCCGCTGCGTGAATCAGCGCCTCGGTTCGCATGGAGTGCCGCCTCCCAATATCGCCATCAAAATCCTCCATGTTCGACGAGGCGGATTCCCTCCGTGAGTCGGGGCCATCCTCTTCGGCCCAGACATTGCTATCAAGTACCGAATCGTCCTCAGGGTTGTCGGCGACCTCCTCCACCGTCGGCTGCAAATCTTCATTGCTCAGTAGCGAATCTTCAGCAGGTGTGTCGTCTGCGTCTGTTTCTTCCACACTCTGCTTGATTTCTCCATTGTTTGTTATCGTATCGTCTTCACTAGCACTAGCATGCGAGCCCTGCTCAGCAGGAGTCGCCTCCTCGGCACCAGCTACATCCTCATGCTCCATTGTAGGCAGTTTCTCATCCATAGGCTCGCTTGCAGAGGATGGGTCGACGTGTATCTCAAAATCGAGGTCCTGATGGCGACTTCGTTGTGGCATCAGAGGATGAGAATCGAGACGGCGTGCAAGTACAGGATGCAGGAGGGAAGAAAGCGAAAAAGACGGGAAAATGCGCCACGCAATATGGTTCAAATAAAACGAGATGTACAATGCACAAAACTATCCGTTAGGCTGGTAACGGCAGAATTGGGGGTTTCCAGTTCGGAGCTTGCATTTGGGACATGTGTGGCTCGGTGTGGTTGGCTGGTTGGGCTCCTGCGGTTGCTTGACTTTGTTTACGCCCGTTGCCACGTCGACGGGTTTGTCAACTGGTTTGTTGTGGGGCGATGCGACAGGCCTTTTTGACCAGCAGGTGTTGGTGACGCTCTTTGACTCTTTGACGCCGCACAATTGTAAATTTGGCCCGCTCATTGAATCTTTACAGAAATCGAAATTCTCTCAGCGAATATATCAACTTGTGGTTCTGCATTCCATACGTCCACATTATCGGGGTTTTTGCGGGGTTGGAATGCGGCTGCACCCCTTTCATACTGCCCATTCTTCGATTGTGGCCCTGCTGGAATGCTGGTATCCTCTTGCTGGCTATAGAGCAACTAGAATATTTAACGAACTTCTATTAATAGAACTGGTTGATTTTCTGCTACCCAATTGGTTTGGCGTGAATATCTTGGCTCTTTGAAGCCCCAAGCACTATACGAATATTTCATCGGACAGCGCTACCCATCACTGCAAATTATCATTCACTCACTTCAGGTCGAAAATATACTTGGAGGTATTTATGAACTTCAAAGACCTTGTGAGCGCGTCTGGCAATATTCTGGCTTACTTGATTCTACAAATGCGTGTACTATTTGCACTATTCGGTCCATCGAGACACAACAGACGACCCACGTGCAGACGCATACAACACTGAATTTCTTCGGGGTGAAAGCCGCTGGTTTCTGCTGACAAGTCATCGTACCGGAACGAAGCTACAGAGATGTCGCTTTGTGATGGCTTGTTTGTTCACGCCAGGTCAGTGTGAGCCATCGTTAGGTCGACGCCATGTACACAATCCAGTATAAAACGACCTTTCCAATTCGAGTCAGAAGACGGACCTAAAACATGGGATTTTCTCCCAGTCTGCGTGCGATCAGTCTTAGTCCCAAAACAGTACATTAATGTAGCGAGTTGTTGCTTTAAGCAACTCGGTTCGTGACTCTAGGCGTTGGGCTTGTGGTGGCATGTGCCCTACCAGTGAGATGAATGCCATCGGGCTGTTCTTTCTGGCGAAGACGAAAGCCAGAGGGGGCGTACGTCAATGCACCCATGTCCATGGGGCCCGGAACATGTATTAGATTAGATGCTAGATGCAGTCAATAAAATTAATCTCTACAGGCTTCGAAGCAAAACAGAGGAATCGGAGACAATGTATCTACCCGCGTCAGAGCAGGAAGGTATTCAATAGAACTGGAAGACATATTGACGCTAGGTTGTGATACATGGACTCCATACTGTCAATAAACCATACAAGGTTAACTTTGATACTCCCGCAGCAGCTTCAGAACCACCAATTGGCCGTTTCGAGAGGCTTCCACGAGCGGCGTCGCTCCGGTATGGTCTCTTGACTCATTAGCTGTCACCTAAAGAAGGAGCTTAACAACCGCTATATGCGACCTGGCCAGTATCGCCCTTTTTGATGAGACTGGAGCAACTTGTCAAGACCTCCCTCACGGGCGACAATTTTTTCAGTCGATAAGACTAGTATTGAGATCGATCGTAAGTACCTGTGTTAATTGGTTGATTGTAAATGGTTTTCTTGCTGCACAAACCCAGCGTAGAATTTTGCATAAGGCGACTTTGTACACAGTTTATCCTCGTCAAGCAGCGGAGCCGCTTAATCTCATATACCACATCATGAGGGCGCGCCAATCCGGCTCTGTCCAAGAAACCGATAAGTTGCTTGACGTAGCTTCTAAAAGGATGACTGCATGCGCCGTGATTACTGTGATTTGTTTGAGTGATCATGGAAGAACTGGGCTATAAAACTATCGTTACACTCGGATGTCTCTATGAGATGCCGAATAACGACAGTCCTTGGTTACATTAGTCATCTGATGATCTGAATACCTAGGACAACTGCTAGTTTGTGCCCGCAACGTACGTAAGTCCCAGACGCAGCTGGAGTAAATGAACACGCAAGCTAATATAGAAAAGAATCGTCTTCTAGCAGTCCTTTACATATTCTGTTACAAACTTTCTTGTTAGATTTCGAATATCACCCCTAAAATCACCGCTTAGCATCTCTCCAAGCCCTAGGATGCCTTATCCGCCGGGTGTTGTGTAGCCGCTCTTTAAACTCGTTAGCTATAGTCGATACGATTGGGTACTACACCTTACTTTACTACCGATTCATTATACGGACCAACCCCCGTCGCCTTCTGGATGAAAAAAACAAAGGGGCTTCGGCAACTGTATTGTTTCCACAGACTAACAAGACCAGCATCACTGAACGTGACCACAGCTACCTCGTGGAACGGGTCAAGAATTTGGCCGTGAACAGTGTATTTGTTTTCCATCTCTGAAAATATATGATTTTCGTCTTGATTGGTCGCTTGTGAAACAATGCGCCTCTCTTCCAGTATTTGGTCTTTGAGAATATCTCTCAGGTGCTCAATGATGGCTGCACGGCCCTGGGCGGGGTCTGCATGTTCACGCATGCTGCGAAGATACACGGTGCTATCCTCAGCAAAGAACGACGCGAACTTGAGGAATTCTTCGGGGGGCGAGTCTGGTCTCAAACGTGCCAGTTGGTCGTAGATGTCTCCCAGGCGCTTCTGAAGCATCTCGGTTGGCTGCATGACGGCGGACCCGGTTTTGGTATCTTGATACAAAAAGTGCTCTAAAGTAGTGACTGTCCTAGATTATTTCAGTACCTGGATTTACAGAATTGAAGGTCGGAGGTCATGACGTCTTATATCCCATATCGCAAGGCAGCCGGGGAGGCGTGTCTTATTAGAACTGCTTATTCCGGTAGTAATTACACGGAACCTGTTTATTATGCATTGCTTATTCATGCTTAGGTAACAAAAAGTACGTTTATCAGGAACTTCTTGAGACATGCATAATGTAGTATCAATGTCCGTAAGAAGGCACGCCTCTATTCCGCGGGTTGCACCCAACTGCGTGGTATGTGGGGCCGGCCATCCGGAGGCCTTCCGGAGTTGATGATGACTACCGTCCATATCCCATCTGCCACGAGCTGTATGCGGGGCAGCCGCGCGGTTAGTTGGTATTCCTGGATTATAAGTAATTTAGTTGAAAGCCGCCTCTGCACTAATCTGGTACGTGTTTCTTCCCAGAGTACGGGTTGAGTCGATTGTTTTCATCGAATCTCGGGCCTCGGCTAGGGACATGGGCAATATATAGGCAAAAAATAATTCAACCAAATAAGACTCGTGTGGATGCAACGCCGAAAAAACTTCAATTAGTACAGGTTCCAAGCTTCAGACCGGTCCACTAACTAGGGTCAATGGCGACGGTCAACTACAGTTCCAAGAGCAGAGAGCTGGCTACAGCATCCGAATATAGCAATATTCAACTGTCAGGAATGCAACAAATTATCATGATATTCTACAACTAAACGCTCAATTCCTTGATAGATGGTTCTATTCAAGACATTTATCAGCTGTAAATCCAACACATAGCTAGCCGCTCAGTAAGAACCCGTCTATTCTATCGCAAAACAGGACCCTTCGTAACCGCCGTCCAAAGCGCTCTAACCCTTCCATCCTGTACTATAATCACGTCCGTCCCCTTGACGAGATCGGGTTCCACTGGAGGTCCAAACGTCCAATTTTGAACGCCCAGATTTTGGGCCACGATGGTTTCCCCTTCTAGCCTAAACGCAAAAGCAGGATTTTCGCCCAAGACCTCCCCAACGCGCCTATTCAGAGCGGCATAACCTGTAAATACATCCTTGTCTGCTTCGTACCAGACAATGTCCTCCCCGTAGATGCTCTGGATACACGCTTTACGCGCAGTCTCGTCTCGCTCGTTGAAGACGGACAGGAGGTTTGCTTGGATAAGCGCCCGGATTGTGGCTTGGTTTTCGTTGGGGCTGATGGATATACGCAAAGACATGATGGGTTTGGTGGTCATCTTGGGGGTTTTAGAGTAGCTGAGACTATTTTTGCAGTTGAAATTACGGGTGCTCGAGGCGAATACTAATACCCGCCGCTCTCGTGAGCCATGTCATCAGTGGCGTTTGGGGCGCGCGCGTAAGCACGCCGCATTCAGAGGCGTTAATCAGCACGTACTTCCACCCAAACTCTATGAGTACCTATTAGCCAGGGCAGCCGGCTGCAGCGGATGACCGGATTGATCGGAGCTCTTGCGATGCAGGGCTCGTTGGTCGATGCATATCCAACCGAGCTTGGCTGTCCGTCAATCGTGGCCATAACGGAGGAGGAATCCGCACTAGTAGATCGTTCCACTACGGATATTCCCGAGGAGATGTAGCTTATTTTGGACACGGATTCTTTGGCCCTTTATTTCTGAACTTGGCATTGGGGAGATGAAAACTGCCACCATATGCATGTGGTTTAATATCTAGATAGTTCCAAGACTGAATCTGTACGCAAATCGATTAGATTGTATCAGGGTTGGTAGGCACAATGAAGGATTATATAGCAGCGGGGCAGTATCAAGAGACGTCGTAGATGGAACTAGATGGAACCGTTTTCAGCTATCTGGCATTGTAAAAATAACTTTACCAAATGTTGACGTACTTTGAAACCGCGGTACTTTGGAATCAGCGGTTTACATTACGCGACGCCGCGATTACAATGGCAGACCGTACATTACAACAACATGCTGGTGCTTCAGCCCAACTTGCTGGCACTTATGCAGAGCATTTTCCCGAATTGGCAACTTTTCAGTGTCCGCAGGGACCCCCGGGTAAGCCACCGGTATTTTCGGCACTTGGAGGCTTGCGAAGCATCCGAGTGAGAAAGTTGTACCACGTGGTGTGCTGTGAGCGTGAGGCAGCTCGACATACTTGGGCTTCCAGAGCACAAATTATTGACACATGGACACTTTTGTTCCGTCTTGTGTCGGTCATCTGAGCTCGCTTTGGCAGCGGGTTCCCCGGAAATCTGACGCCAGGATTTGACCGCCAGAAATGTCCGGTGATGGAGAGGGACACTACTTGGCGTTTCTGTTGCCCATCGTACTGGTCAACAAAAAGCTTCACACGACGACCTTGCAAGAGTCATAGTTCCAGCATACAAGTCACCGTCATGACATGTCCAAGAGCTCAAGATGCACCACACCGGGAAATCCAACCAAGACGGGCGATTTTATTTGCCAACCCCGTACATGTAGGTAACTGAATGGATGCTCAACTACGTCAACTAGGCATGGCTTGCTCCTTTACTGCTGTCCCGACCCCATTCGCCCAGCCCTTGATTGCAGGCCAGTCGCGCGAGTCGCCAAACCGCGTCTTGTCTTTGGGGATACAACACGTAAAGATGAGGCGTATAATCCACGGCAGATCCGCCTTGTCGAATGCACCGCGAAACAGGCGATGCCCCTGTAGATGTAGGCGCTCGCGCAGCCACTTGTCCATGGACGCCTCCTCTTTGGCGAGGTCGTCGTCGGCCGGCGGCATGCCGACGCTGAAAGCCCACACGCGCGGCACATCCGGACCTGCCGACGAGAGATACGGTCCGTTTTGCCGGACGAAGCGCCGACCCGGCGCAATCCACCGGCCGAGGTGGATCGCGCTACCGATCACAACCGCCTTGTACTTCTTCCCTTTGGGACTGGAGAGAAGGGGGGTGGCGGCTGCAGGGATGCAGTCCACCTGGATGGGTTCGAGCTTTTGAGACAGCTCTCGGGCCATTGTCTCTGCCATTTCTCTAGTTGAGCCGTGGGAGGTGGCGTACGATACTAGGACGGCCATTGTGGTAAGTCTGTTTTGAGCCTCGGGAATACGATTTGCGGTGTCGAATGACCCCTGGGAAGAAGGTTGTATTCTGGCATTATATAGAAATCATTTCCGGAACAGTAAAATTTGGCATTGGTTATCGAAAGCGAAGATATAGTGAGCGGCGGGGGATCAGGGGACAAGATGGAACTACGGAGGCCTCGTGCCGCCGTCTCGGGAGAGACTGATAATGACACCATGTCATATCACGCCACGAATGCTAATTCGCAGCTGACGCGAAAGTGGCTTTGCCACGTACACCTGGGAGGCTTGACGCCACGTTAACTTTCATCTATCCAACATGTTAAACACTAGGTACAGATGCAAATGCTAAGCCGTGGAATGCAAGAGGCTACATGTAGACCATATCTATCTACCTACACCTACTTATCTTGAGGGTATGTTCAGCTAGACTTCCATTCATTATCATTGTTCAATTTACCTTTTCTAGCCTTCCGCTACAAGTACTTGGGGACATTACAAGAGATCCCAAGGTTTTTGATCAACTAGACGCCACTATACTTTCCTGCGAACAATAGACGCAAGCTACAAGGCGTTGGTTGAGCGGAGGATGTTGATCAGAAGCTTCCTTGCGTTCAGAATGCGTCTCCCTCCACCCGGAAACCTGTAGACCCGTGTCCAGACCATCGTGATAGTTTGTTACTATGGGCAACATGTTTTCTTGTCTGAGCGTGCATTAGCCATGGCACCTCAAGGATGTCTTTCGTTTTCTTTAGGATGACCATGTGTAGTAAAGATGACCTAATCCTTTCATGTTCCCGTGTAAGCAAGCCCGTGCATGTAAATGCAGACTGCCCTCGTTTTTTTCCACCATTTGCAAGACCGGCTATCCATCAACTATTCTCGAGCCCACGTCAGTGCAACCCTTAGCCTCCCAGCTTCGTACGGACAACTCGACATACAAGACAGCCCAATCCCACCGTCGATGATATTCCCACCATCTCATCTCATCATCTATAATAGCGCTCTTGTACTTGCCAGCAACACAATCCCATCTTTATAAACCTCCGCCTTCATACACCATGATCGTCCTTGCAGGCATCCAGCCCACTCCACTCAATCGACAGCAAACCGACCAAGTTCGGGCTCAACCGGCGGAGCAGTCCGTGTGGCCCTCCAAACACTCCTGGACAAGAAGCTCGTCCCCGTCTCGCAGCTACGCATCTCATCCTACAACACGGCCGGCAACCCGCCGTCGATTCGAAACACAGACACCGACATTCGCAAGGCCAACCTCTACGAGCCTGCTACTTTAAATGACTCGTATTCCGGCGCCGAGGTCCTGTTCCTCGTTTCATTCCCGTCCATGGAAGAGGAGCCTGGCGCTTCACGCCGCACCGCAATGTCATCGACGCCGCAAGGGCCGTCGGCGTACAAGACGTCATTTACACATCGCTTTCGCTCTGCGAACGCGCCGAGGGAACTACCAGCGTTGCGCAAGTAGTGCAGACCCATCTTAAAACAGAGGCGTACCTGAAGGAAAGCGGTCTCAGCTACACGACTCCAAGAATGGCGTCGTACGCGCACCTCTGGAACAGCTACGCCAGGTTCCTGGACGGAAATCAAGTAGATGTCTACCATGGCCCATGCCAAATCACGTTGCGTCATAATTCTAATATCACTTGTCATGTCACGTTGGCTGACACACAAATTTCTCACCTCACCACATATCAACAAGAGGTACATGAATATTGATCATGAATGCTGTCAACTACGCGTCAAAGTCACGTCAACAGTTGATGGCGCAAAAATAACATGTAATTAGATGTATGATTGTACCTCTTGTCCAATTGGCCTATCTATGTACAAAGCGTCTGCTCAACGTCGACTGAATGAAACCCCTTCTTCGTTATCAGGCTTTTTGACTTGTGCCATTGTTTAATGTCCTAGCCCTTCTATATGCAAAGCTCGATGAGCCAAACCCCCAAGCAGTACGAGAATAAAGAGAAAAAGAGAAAAGCTGTAAAATCGACAGTCCCATCATAACCTAGTTACTCCGCGAGAATGAATAAAAATCAATTGATGCTGATGCCATGCCCATGCCATTGTTCGCCGGACAGTCGATGCCGCATGAGTGCTGTTCGCCAAAAGAGATCAATGCCACAGTGAGCGCAAGCACACAGCAGGAGTTACGCACGGAAGCATCCGACCAGCATGTCGACGCAATCGAGCTACTTGTCTGGGCTCTTGGATCTGCAGGCCATGTTTCAAGCATTTCCCCAAAGGGATCAAGGCCGCATGCCCCATTGAGGTTTGAGCGTGCCCTCCAAAGCGGCAGACGTAAAAACGGTGTCGCCTGGTAGTCGGCTTACACGTCCAGCTCCGCCGCGAATAGCATGTAACTGAGCAGCAGAAATGCCACTGGTATTGCTTCTGATGCTACCTGCGTCACTCATGGTATCTGCATCCTTGAACTTCTTGGGGGGTGCGAAATCCAGACCCGTGAATGTTGATGACTTGCGAAGCATGTGAGGGCTTGGCAGGACCGACAGCTCGTCAAAGGAAGTGACCAGAGGGGAAGCAACTGGCACCTTAGGCGAGTATGCACGTCTTTCACCGAGAGGGCTTTGACTACGGCCCGCGACATGTTCTCTGAACGAGTCGGGAGGCGCGAAATCAGTTGCATTGAAGATTGCAAAGCTGTCGTCCTTGAGTTTGGAAGGTGTTGGCAGAGTATGGAGCGCGGATGGGGGGGGCAGGTTCTTCTTCGGGGGACGTCCTCGCATCTGGGCAGAAGCAGACGAGCCGGGCCTTGGTCCAAAGGCAGAGCCAGCACGGGGCCGCCTTTGTCCTCCTGGGAGACTCATGCCACCAATAGAGCCATGAGGACCTCGCACTGGACCACGAGGATCACCGCGGGGGCCAGGTCCTCCAGGTCCGCCTCGGAAACGTCCAGCGGGTGGCGGCGTCATGGCACGACGAGTCACCGGCTGTGCATATGGCATGACGAAGGCATTCGTCTCTGCATCGTAATAGGCAGCGTCTCCAAGATAACCAGCATCGTAGTCTTCGTAGTATTCAGCAGCTTCTGTTCCAGGCAGCGGGGGTGCAGGTTCCCTATCGTCAAAGTATTCCTTATAAAACGATCGGATACGGTTGGCTCTGTACTCCGGGTCCTCAGATTCCATGACCTCATCCGGTGGCAGAGGACGGAATCCAACCGAGAGTCGTTTCATCTGCTGCTGTGGAACACCCAAGGCATCATTAGACTGTTCCGGAGCATCTGCTGGTGCGGGGGCGCCAAGAGATTCACCGTCATAGTACTGTGAGGTACGGATCTCGGGATGACCATGGTCGTCGCGAGACAATGCTTGGCCAGGGATATTGTCAACAGCGTGAGGCGCGTCTGGTGAGTGAACGTTTTGCAAGCCCATGTCCAGACCCAGTCCAGGTGGATGAGACTCTCGGGATTGGAAGTCGAAACCATCGACGCCTGAATGGGCCGTTCCAATCGGGTCACGTTCCGAACGCGCTGGTAGCTCTGCCAAGATAGGCTTGTCTTGTTCCAAGGAAGAATTCGGCAGCTCATAGCGCGAGTCTCTTGACACCGCTAACGGCGGCGGCTGAATGTCCGACATCTGCGGCTCACCAGTCTTTTCATCAGGATAGGAAACAGTGCCGATCTCGGGAACAACGGGTTCCATGGGGCGGACAACATCTCTGGCATCATCTGGTAGGGGGAACTGATGAATAGATTGCGGAGCGGTAGGTGTGGCAAAAGGATCAGACCTGGCCGCGGGAGATGCAGGTGTCTTTGGCATAGAATCGGAACGAGATGGGGGCATTCTTCCAGCTGTGCCAACGGAGGGACTGTAAGCCAGGGAGGTATGCCTGCTTCCCTTGGGATTGAAAGATTTGATAGAACCAGCATCGCTATTTGCATACTGACTAACAGTACGATATGGGTCCTGGTCGCTCGGGAAGGTTCGTGCCAATGAATGGACTGAGTCGTGGGATTGGTGAATATTGGGAGGCAAAAGGTACGGCGATGAAAGATTCATATCCATAGACAATTGGCTGCCCTTGTGACTTGTCTTTTCTCCCCCTATTCCGAATAAACTCTTTCGCTTGCCGGTTTTGGCAGGGCCGTCGCCCATGCCGAAATCGAGTCCTTTGGTGGGATCTTGAGCATCCTCCTGCCTCAAACGGCGAACATTTCGGCGATGCAGAAAAATGAGTACAATAGAGGCAACAACCACAGGGATTCTGTTTTTTATTGTGGATTAGCACTGACTGCCGACTTGACGATTACATCACTTGTTTCCACTTACACAATGCCAAGAATAATAGCAAGATTCGTGACACTGGTGTTGACTCCCTTCTCGCAGGTGTTATAATCCGAGCCGTCATGGCAGGATGTGTCACGCCTGGAAATAGTCCACACTGGACGTGCAATGGGAGTCTCCACAGGGATCAAATCCCTTCGCAAGTTGATACGAGGCTGCATATGGTACACATTATTGTTCGAATCGCCTTGCCCGAAGGCGGTCGTGGCCCGCTTAATAGCAGGTAGGTTTGCCATGTCGAATTATAAAACGTCCTAGGAACTGATGACGAGAAAGGGGAGGGTTTGGTCGTGGGCTCTATATTAGAAAGAAAGGTATAACTCGATAGCCATTAGAAAGAACCCAAAATCTCTCGCCTTGAAATAACAGGATGTTTATTTTTCTTCGGATTTCAGGCCCTCAGATGCAATGTGAGCTGCGGCAAACAGTCGGGATCGACAAATCGAATCGGTCGTCCAGCGGTACAGGCTGAGAAAACGAAATAAACCAGGCCAGGGAAACTAGAAACCCGGGACAGCTCGAAGAAAATAAGTCAGTCTTGCCAACGTTCCTAAAGACGCATTCCTGGATGACTAGGGAGTAATGAATGGCTCGACGCTACAAGAGCGAAAACGAAAATGAATGACCGGTTTCTGTAAAAACGAATGACTAAATGAATGACGAGCCCGTTGGCAGGGCGAATTGCACGACGTCGTCGGTCGACAGTTAAAGGCAACACTGACGATGGAGGGAAAGAGGAAGGAAGAAGGCTTGGCTGCTCGACGGGACGAAGCACTGAGAGCCTGGACCCAGCAGGACAAGCCAGCGGACCACTAGAACCAGCTCATTACCCTGCTTGGGGAAAGTCTGAGGAGAAATCAATTGGGATTGGGACAATGACCAGGGGGCGTGGACAGGGCGATGAACAAAGGGGGTGTGGAACTTGGGATAAACACAAAGAAGGCGGTCGACGGGCCCGGTCTGGTCTGGGGGCAGAAACGAGGAAAAACACAGCACGTCCAAGGTGGTGACGAGTCCTCTAATTTCGGCACATCACACGCTGAAGGTTTCTTTGCGACGTCTTGGCGTAGAGCCATGTACCGCGGTAATGAAGGGGAGTGAAAGAGAGGCCTCTGGCCCAACAGTCGTCGATGGCGATGCCAGAATTGACAACATTTGAAGCTTTATGAAAACCGGTTTTTCTTCTGAACGGCGGGAGTCCCAGTACTGGGATTACAATGCAAGAGGCTGACAATGGAGACCCGGCGCTACACACATACCTAGGTACCTACCTGGCACATTACATTAAAGGGCTATTTGGCTCCCTGTGGCACTGCGTCTAGGCCAATCTGAGACTAGCGTCAGGGGCAGATGTCCAGCCTTGGGAAAGCACGATCCCGCGCTATGAATGCGCAGCTTGCCCTCCCGCCTCCCTTCCCTGGCGCAACAAACTAAATACATATTACTTACGGGGCAGCGTGGCGCTCTATGCAAGCACAATTTCGTGCAAGAAGTGACGAAAGCGCAAAATGATATAATGACGCCTTTCCAACGCGTTGACATTGTTTGCTTCAGCTGCCTTTCACGAGCACACAGGTTGTTGATTAACCAAACGAACCGACGATGCGGACGGGGAAATGAAACTTTGTTTGGTATCGGCCTCTGTGGCTAGTGTTGCATCACCGTGGAGCGGCTCTTTGATGCCAAACAGAAGATTTGCCTCTATTTGCAACTTTGTTTCCCATATCCCCGCGGGGGTCATCCAAGGTCTCAACAGTCTCAACGCATCTTTTGAGCCAAGCAATTCTTCGAGGTGGGCCGCCGATAGACGATGGTATAGCTGCAATGCTAGCTGCAACATATTGCCTCAAGTCTGTCTGACGGGCGCATTGTAGATGGCAGCGTTTGCGGCTGGGTGCTGTGAAGTACTACTCCGTGCTTGATCAATGAACAATATTGTGCATCCTGTGCATGATAACCTGCGATAACCTGCCTAGTACTAGGCAGTAGTCTGTTGTGCCGATATGACTCTGTTCTCAGTACTCCGTACCATCAGTAACAACTATTACAGCTTTGTGCAACCACGGAAGCATTTTGGAAGAGGCACTAAAATAAGGCACGAGACTCTTATCAAAACAAACCAGTCATTATTGTCGTTGATTGTCCCAGGAGCTAAAGA